ACACTTTCCAGTCGGTTCCCTCGCACCGCTTCTCTGAGCAAAATGAAAACAGGCTGAATTAATTCTTCCTACACGAGTAGACCAGCTTTATTCACACAGTCCTCTAAACTCGGCTTAGAGTTTCACTTGCTTTGACTAGAGTTCAATATGTGCCTCTGGGTCAGTTTCAACAGGTTCTTAAAAAGAATCAAATTTCTCTTCAGAAAAAAAACGCAAGAAAATATCGACAACACAACAAGAGGAAAAAAAAGACTAAAGCTGAATGGACATTGTTGCTGGAGAAGTCCCAAACTATCTCAGAACAAGGAGATAAATGTTCCCCTCGAATGAATCCAGGTCAGCTAAATCAACCCAAATATGCAGATTCATTAGCATTTGCCTGGTAAGCTACTATAATGGAGGCCCCCTACACTACTGTATAAAAGAATAATCTGATTATGTTAAGCAGTGACGACTACAAGCATGGTTAGTTCTCTGATCGCATAAATAAAGCCTTAGATTTGCACGAGCATTGCCAACATATTATCGCTCTTTCTGGGTTTGATATTTGTTAAAGAGGAGACCACAGTATTCTGCAATGGGGTGGGAGAGGTCGGGCAAAATTTAGTCTGCTTGACACATTTCTTTCCTCAAGTAGAAATTTTTCTCCTCTTCTTCCACTCTTAACTAATTTTCACTACGAGACCACCAAACAGAAAAAAGCTTGTATACAAACGAGCGCTGCATCGTCTCCCTGACTCTCTGACAACATCAATGGAGAACTGGGAATAGATGACAGACGCAAGATTGATGAGCCGAAGGCCAAAGGGTGCATCCCCCTCGACATCTTCAGGAAGCGCTTTGACTTGGCTTTCCTCTGCTCCCACAAAACCCTGTGACAGCTGATACAAAGTTTTTAAACCGTGCACCCACAAACCTCAATGACACAACTGACACCACGCCTTCACATGTCTCAATTCAGGATGTTGAGACTGGGCGCAAGCCGAGCCAGTGCCCCGAAACATGCCCTTGGTGACACAGCGGTCTGGAGAACGGACGGAGAGGAAATGGAAATGTCAGGGTTTTTAAATTGATGAGTGGACTTGAATGAGGATGGGGCTAAAGTGTCCTTTTGAAGACTCTTCAAGCCAGAGCAAATGCTTTAGTAGCCCTACTTCAGGAACTCAGCTAATGGTAAACATACTGACCCCACTCCTCTGTGACACCCGATTTTCTCAGTTTGAACTACTGTTGGAACGTCTTGTCAAGATCTCTCTCCCCGTTTGGTAACAGTAATGAATTCAGGAACTTTGAAACAAATACTTCCTATGGCTGAACTCTCAGATTACACTATATGGACAAAAGTACTGGGCCAAATGGCTTAATCTTTGAATTTAGACATTTTCAGTCCCACTCCCACTGGTGTATAAAAAAAATAATAATCATACACTTAGCCATGCAGTCTATCTTTACAAACATTTGTGAAAGAAAAGGTAGTTGTCAAGAGCTCAACAGACTTGAGCGCGATACTGTAATGGGATCCCATCATCGCAACAAGTCAGTTTGCAAAATTTCTTCCCTTCTAGTTATTACACAATCAACTGTTATTACACAATCAACTGTCTGTGGAAGAATTTCAAAAGCCATGAATTGTCAGATTGTGCAAAAGATACAGAATGAGGTTTGCCAAGTGTGTAAAAACTGCCCGTGCTCTGTTAGACTCATTAACATTGGCAAAAAATCTGTGCACCGGGATCTTCATGCAATGGCTTTCTATGGCTGAGCAGCTCCTGTAGGTGTAATGTGGCCCAGTAGCTTTTTTTCTCCCCCCACATAGTGCATGTGTCATAAAAGTTTAAACTGGCAAGAAGTTCAACAAGTAAAAAGTTCAAGCCAAACCCAAAGTTGTATTTTAAGTATCTCAGATGTCTATGGCATGCCTTATCAGCTTTGGTTCCCATTCATAAAAGTACACAGTAACTCTCCAGTCATGCAAGTGGCTTTTGGTGAGTCATCAAACAAAGTTTATTAGGTTACACACAGGTTTGGCACAAAGCTACTCTGAATAGCTCCTTTCCACATGCTAACATATTTCCCAAAGTAAAAATGCTTATTTCGAGCAGTTTGGTATGTTTTTCTGCTAACATTTGCAATTACCACAAAGTGGAGCTGATGGAAGTGTTATTAGTTTTGAAGTATGTGATAAATCCAACTGGCGGGCTGCAACATTTAGCACATTTCTGGTGCCACTGTGGTTTTTACTGTAAGCAGCCATTAAGCATATAACCAGCTTGCATCCTCACTCCCCTGAGACTGACATGATTACACACATGGGGCCTAGACACAGATAAGCAAAGCGCATAAATAGACACCACACTGTCAATGTGCATGTGTCAACCTCGTGCACATGCACACTGTGCAGCTACCATTACTGTCCATCTATAAACATCCCAAGTTTCTGACAAGGCTGTCAGCAAACACCACCACAGGTGGGGGATGGAAGGAAAATGGTAGCAACAGAGGGAGAGAGGGAAAAATGGCTTTGCTAAGAGAGAGAGCAAATTCACACAGTGGTTGTAGAAAGGGAAGAGAACAGATGCGAAGAGCAAGGAAAAATGAGTAGGAGGAATCTCCTTATGGAAAACAAGACAGGAACAGTTACATAAAGAAAGAGGATAGTATGGTTTGAGGGCTTAAGGAACAATGCCTTTTTTTTTTTTATCTTGCTGTCCCCATTTTCCTTAAAGACCAGAGGCACCAGATGGAGATGCAATTCCCAATGAAGAGCTTACACTCAGCGCACTTCTGTCTGTATCTGAGTGTGTTTGAGGCACTGTGCTTCCCTTTGTCCTTCCTATGTGATGTAATATATTCAACCCTGATGCAACTCTTTTAAGAGGGAAAAGAAAATAGGTGAAATTCCTGTTTACTCAATATACACAGAGTGAACAGAACATAGACTCTAGACTTTAGCGCACGCACACACACACACACACACACACACACACACACACACACACACACACACACACACACACACAACACACACAACCACACCGCACACACACACAACAGTGTGTTGTAAAGGATTATGCAGGCTTGAATTTAACCAGGAAAAAAAATGCCTCCAAGCACCAGGGAGCAAATCTGGCTTTAGAACCTTTCCTCATCCCAGAGCATCCTGGTACAAAAGGAAAATCCAGCAACTGAAACATGTTCGTGTCTGAGGGTACTAGAGCAAATGTACAGATGGATAATCAGCTTCTGACTCAAGCAGAAAATCTGATTGGAAAACACAGATCAGAGCTCTTCGATTAAACAAATGCCAGAAAATTATAAATAATCCAAAAAACACCAAATATTCTTCGTGTTTCTCACGTTTCCAGAGGCCAGCTTGACTTTGGGAATACCAAGTGGAATGCACACATCTGCAGGAATGTCCACTGGTATCCAGCTATGTGTAAATGTTTGCTCATGAGTGAACTAAGAAAAAAAAAGTGTGTGTGCGTGTGTGTGTGTGTGTGTGTGTGTGTGTGTTGGAGAGAAAATAAGTGGCCATCTTCTTCTGCCTTTGTGTGAATCTTAAGTAGACCCATGTTGAGGGAGGCTTTGTTCGCTGTCACCATCGGGGGGCACGTCCTCCAACTTTTCCCCTCACTTCCTTTCAACATAACATTTATCATTCATCCCAGTCAAACAATCATCCTACAACACAGGCGAGCATCTAGCATACAATAAGCTACCCTCCCACCACCACCACTTTCTGGTTGCTGGGATACCTTTCATCCAGCTTGTCAATATCATCATCTCTTACTTAGAAACTCCCCGTTCCTCGCTACAATTGATTCCGTGCAGCAGAGGCTTAATAAAAACTCTGCCACGTCTTGTTTTCAAAATAAAGTTTCCAAGAATATCTTCTCTTCTTTATACTGCATCCAAATCATTATAAAAACGTCTGGCTCGGCAAAAATTGCAATGCATCCTTGAGGGAACCTTCTAATTTGCAAGGGAAATTCCCTTCTGGGCAAATATAGGATTATTTGGATTTACTAAACTAAATGCATATTTTAAGCTGACATTACAGAGTGCCAGTGTTAACCAGGGAAGACACCCGAAGGCCTGCTTCATATAAAGACAGCGTGATTCACCAGATCCACCCCTCCCTTTTCCTGTTGCACTTTCAAAAGGGTTAACAGGTGCATTAGCAATAAGTGGAGAGATGCTGGAGTTGCTGACCCACAGCTAACAACATAATCTTATCAACTGTACTCTGTGCATATAACCCTCTGTCGCTTTATAAAACAGAAAGAGAAATTGGTAAACTTGGGCCTTGTTTGACCTTTTTTATGCAGTTTTTGTGCGCATCCCTTTCAGCTGACTGACCTGCACCACTTATTACGCCTATAATGATTGCTGACAGCAGATTATTTTTCCTACTGCACCCAAATTCTCCATAGATCTCTGCAGATCAAATCCAACAAACACTGGAGTGAGAAGCAAAGGCCAAGTGGACAAAAGAGACAAAAAGGAGACAGACAAGTATAGATAGAGACCTGCAAAACGAAAAGGGGGAAGGGAAACAAAATGAAGAACACAAAGAATAAGCAAAAGAAGAGGCAGCATGAAAAAGGTTGAAAACCCTTTAAACGACTGTTTTGTGAGGGAAATAAAGAGCTGCTAGCAGCAACAGCAACATACCAGCACAGCGAACGAGAATGCAAATCAGCCCCCGATGCAAATGACATACATCTACAGGGGCCAAGCAGACTGTCTTTTTACCAACACTGCTTACCGTAAACCACATCAAACATCTCTCTGCGCTATCTGAACCCATTCCTCCTTGAATTCTGCACAGTTAACACACTTACAGGAATGCCTACAAGCTGGTGCAAAGCAAAATAACCACATTAACAAGCATCATCTGGTTACTTCTCACTCAAACAAAACGCCTGATTACTGTGAGCTCTTTGCACGCCTACACATGAACGTGCTCTCCAGAGAAATAACAATAAGTCACTTACTTGTCCGTCATCACGTCGGCTAGCGAATACTGATTCATTAAATCTTCTTTTCACGTTCCTTCACACAGCTGAAACGGTTGAGCGAGACGCCCGGGGCTAAGGTCGCAGTACACGTCTACAAGAGAGGTTAAAAAAAAACAACAACATTGGGTTAGAGTAAATCATCGGAAATGAGAAAAACAATCGGGTACCCGCTTTCACTCTTCTGCATGTAAATAATAGCAGAACACGCGTCACAACGGGACTGAAAAAATAAAGCCAATGCCAAAGAAAACTGCAGTTCCTCAAATGACCACTTGGGGGTGACTCCAAGCAAGTTGATCCTTGTAGACTCCCAAGATAAAATATTTGACCTTACACCAGAAATAGACATGTTTATAAAAATGCTGTTTTGGTCTATCGTAATCATTTCACACCCACAAAAAACATACTATAGTTGATTTTCTTTTTATATTTATTTTAAATTGGCATGCCGACATGGGCAAGATAACTTGCTGCATGAGAAGGTGATTTTAGTGAACTTGAATCCGGCACTGTTGTTCATTTGTTGATGCCAGAGGTCAGAGGAGAACTGCCAGATTGCTTCAAGCTGATAGGAAGTCAGCAGTACCTCATGAGTACTACTGATTACAATCAAGGCATGCAGACGAATGTCTCTAAATGCACAATCCAATAAACCTTTAAACAGATGAGCTACAGCAGCAGGAGATCACACTGTTTGCACAGGCTCATCAAATTTGCACAACAGAATATTGGCTAAGCATCACCTGGTGTTTGTGATGATCAAAGTTTATGCTGTAGTTGTTTTTTTTCCTGGCCTTAACTCTAGTTTCCACTTTGTATTTATATAGGCATTAAATAACAGCTAGCTTAACACTTTGACTTGGTTTGGTCACTTATCTCAATAAAAAACAAAACAAAACTGACAACTGCTAACCTTTATAATAGTAATTCAGTAACAGTAATTCAATGGGTGACACCATATATAGTCACCATTTCAGAAATGTATTCAAATGTAAGATGTGTTTTAACAGTCAATTAAAAAAAAAGAACTGCCATCCATTTCAGATGTAGCAAAATTATGTAATTTAAAGACGCAGCTATGCATTTTTGACCAATGACATCTTCAGAATATTAACAGGCATCTCAGTTTCTCTTGGGTGAAAAAGTTCAGCACATCTTTGGCTCCAAAAGACAAAAATTTTGTGGAGAAAATTTTTTTTTAAACCCCAAAAACCATCTTACATGTAGTCCGTGCTGGGGAACATCTGACTTTTGCAGACACACTTGACTTGCTCACAATTAGCCAAGCAAGGCCTGGTCTGTTCAGCTTTACTGTTTCCATAGCTACCAAAGCAGCCAACCAGCCAGCTAGCTAGCATAAATAGAGTGCACCAAGGAGCCCACCGGGTAGTGAACAGACACTATGAATCAGTGGGGCTGATTATAATCCAGGATCAAAGGATGAATAATTCATCAATCATCCTTATGAAAAGGTCAAAAGATAATTATCAACAAGGTGTTAAAAAATACCATACAAATCTATTGAAAAAAATGTTTAGATAATGCCCCTCTAATGATGCACATTTACATATGCACATAAATCATAAATCAGCAGATTAATTTTGCTGCCAGGATTCTGAATCTGAAAGTTTAATAAGCTGATCAGATGAGGCGTATCCTGTCTGTGTCCTGCTGGCTGATGCTCCATCTCCAAACCTGGCATTAGCTCCTCAGCTTATCTGACCTTAAAAGATTATGATAGCAGCACATCAGATTTATAGATTATACTCAGTTATGTGTTAACGTGACACAGATTACAACCTGCAGGAGTGGGACTTAGCTCCTGTAAGCAGATAAACATTAAATACCAATTCATATGCAGCTAAATGTGCATGAGGGGGAGTGAAGGTAAGGTCTCTGCCCCACCCAATCCAATCGTAAATCAGCCTCAAGCCCAGAGGCACCAGTAGCAGCCAGTCAGTGAGTGGACAGTGGCTTTTCCTGCTCCTTTTATCTATGCAAACAGCTACTCTTCACCTCCATCCTGAACTCTAAACTTTACATCTGCCACCCATCTTTTTTCCCTCTCTGATGCATTGATTTCCTTCATCACTCATACAGATGTTCACTGAACTTCAGTCCATCTTGTGCATTGTCTGTATACAACCAAGTAATTGATGGTAATCGATTTAGAGGCCATTTCCTCTGCTCCCTCAGATGCTGTTGTTATTGTTGTTGAAATTATTTCCAAAAAGGATAAATAGACTCCAGAACAAACAGAGTTGTCGCTGATAATTCTGAACTCATCCATGACACCAGGATAAATCTAACCTCAGCTTTCCTTCCAGTATTTCCAAAATAACATTTTCTTACAACACTGGACTTTTCCAAATATGCAAGAGGCCACAGTTTTGCACAATGTGGCAGACACTCAAGTATGAAACTACCTCGTGCCCACTGTGGTGCTGGACCCATTTGGTGTTTTCCTGCAAAAGCGAGGAGTTCCTTACCCAGAGCCCCAAATTAAACCGCCTTCTCCTCCTCGTGCAAACAATGATGCAGTGCCTCGATCCTGGCTCGGTAACTGTGCTGCTAGATTTAAGCAGCTAGTGGTGACGGAAATAAATAAAAACATAAATAAGTGACACGAATGCCAAAAGACCGGTGGTTTCCACACATGCAAAGCAGAAAGAGGACCTGCTCAGAGCTAGAAGAACGACACGCTTTGAAGTGAAGTGAGAAGACGTGTGATCCACCTGCAGTCTAAAAAAATTAACATTAAATTGAGCAAATTAAAACCCAGCATTGTTTCTACAAGGATTTCATACCCAGATAAGGAGACCAACTTGTGGCAAGCTACAGGAAAATTTAAATATCCAACCTGGGGGGAGATTTATGAACAGCTTGTAAGAAGACGAACACTTTCCACGTCTGCCAATAAACACCGATTTCCATAAATAAGATACTGTCCTTTTCTGTTTCTCCATTAATTCACACAGCCAGAGTGAACAGCCAAAAAGCAAATAAGGTAATGTGGAAACTCCCTTGCTGCATGCCCCAGCACACCCAGCACATTGAATTATTTACTTCACATATGAGATTTGGGTAAAAATAGCATGCACCATTTTGGACACTCTCTCCACCCTACAGAGCAAGCTCTTCTATTGTCAAAACAATAAATAAATAAATAAAATTCTGTTGATATCTATCATTGTTAGGTGGCAGCATACAGCAGGAGCTGTGTGCGACGTGAATCTTACCATAATCTGAATGGGAAGATCCTGCAGGTACAGAAGCTCTTCCAACGTGGCTCAGTCACACTGTTATTACTGGTACAGTCGTGAAAGGTTTGCATGACAGATGTTAAAAAAATATATAATAAAATCTGGTCATCCAGCACAACCAGCCTGTCACCTCCTCCCTCTCTGCTCACCAGTCAAGAGCAATCTGTCTCTCTCTCTCTCTCCATCTAGCATGATCAACACTGAAGGTGAAGGAAAAAAAAGCGAACGCAAGATGCTGCAAAGGCTGGAGAGACAGGGCTCGCATTCAAGACCTATTTCACTTTGGCACATGCCAGTGACAGGCTGTCTCCATCTGAGCGTAAAGCGAAACTGCTCGTATTCCCTTTCCTCCCTGTCGCAGCAGTCAAACACTGCTCACCGGCGGAGAGCGAGAGCCCCGAGATCGCGCCTCTGGAAAGCCTCAGTGCACACAATCGCTGAGGAGGGGGAGGGGGACAATTTGTGGGGGGCGGTGGGTAAGGGGAGAGAAGATGGGGGAAGGGGAGGTTAGGGTAGTGACTGTGTGTGCATCTGTGGGAGTGTGTCTATTGTTGACGAGTGTTGAGGAGCCCCTTTTTTTTTTTTCTTCCCCCACTTCTCTAAGGAGTGAATGGGGACTGCAGGTTCAGCCAGTGCACTCCTTTATTCAGCCCCGGGTGACAAAAACTCCACACGTAGGTTAACAGCGAAGACAGTTTGCATCCCGGGGACATAAATAAGAGGAGCTGGGACTTCTTCCTGTTTATCCAGTCAGTGAACTATCAAACGTTGAGTGACGTCAGGCTGACAAAAGAAAAACTATCCTCTTTAAACAAACCCAGCTGAGCATTTGACAAAAGAATGACTACTTTATCTCAGATGAAGGATGCCCTCCTCCTGTCAGCTGTGTCACACCGTGATATTCTCCGCAGCGACAGAATGTACTGTATGTAGGCGTCGTCTCCCAACTCCATTACCTCCCAGCTCCCTGCTCTCAGGAACACAACGCTGGGAACCTTTTCAAAACATCAAACAAGCTGTCGATAGCATGACAGCGCCGGATCACTAAGCTTCCTGCTCTCTCAGCAATATCAGTCATAGCTGCGGGGGCCAGCACCTTGGGAATCTTCACAGCTTTCCTGTATACAGTTTCATTATCGCGATTGCTGTTGTCACACTTTCTAACTTGCAACTAAACTCTCTTGCAATCTTCAATAGCGGCGAATGAAAACCATTACAGCAGCCAAACCCTGAAGGGTGTGGACTATTATTGGAATATTTTCTCAGAACGTGCTTAACAAAAGACACAGAACACAGTTTCACACCCAGTGTTTGCCTTCGCCTACGCCGACTCAAAACCACCATTCAATGGTGACACGATCTCTGGAATGCAGCAGTGCATTATGCATGGCCAGTACCATGCATGCAGACATAAAAGTGCCTACACATGCCACTGTCTGCTGCTGATGTGGAACCAGATGCTACTCTGCAGCCAGAAGGAAATTATTCCAGCCTGAGGGATACTAGGGTGTGCCACGGAGGGGGGGTTGGGTGTTTCCAAAGGAAGAGGGGGGGAGGCCGCCACAGATGTCCATTTCATCGAGCACACCTCAACATCAGAGGAGCACAAGCTGGCCACTGACCCCTAGCCTTTAACTCCAGCAAGACCAAAACAATGAGCCATACATCACACACGTCCCCCATATTTCCTTGAATGGCGACGTATGAACGCCAAACGCCACGCAGGTGTGGACTGAGCTTTAAAGAAGGAAGAATCATGTTTACGCTCTCGTCTGCCTTAAGAAAACTGTATTGTTAATGAGAAGGGGAGAACAATGAGGATTATGCATCAAAGACAAAACACCTTTTTACGGTGACTCCCCCAACCTCCCAAAGCAGGAGGGGGAAGGTGCCACTGCCCAGATCAATTGCAGGTATTCTTTTGTGCCTTTTTAGGGAGAAGAGCTAGTAGACAAGTGAAAGGAAAAATAATAAAGGCTTAATTGCTCAGGCCACCTTAAAAGCCATTAAGACTTTATTCAATTCATACTAAATACAGTGCAGGTATGCCAAGGAAGGTGGCACGTCTAAAAGTGTTGTCTTTAAGGTGGCTGAATAGTTGTGTTTGCATGTGAACACAAACACAGTGTGTGTCTCTGTGTTTGTGCTTACTGCAAGCTTCCTATACAAAAATGCTGGACCTGCTCCAGCAAGGACAAATTTCAATACTTTTTGTCAAATTCCTCTGCAAAACAGCGAGAGCTCGTTCCGAAAACCCAAACAGGGCATCCAACTAAATAAGGCCTGACATCCATAACAAGTGACATTTCTGCAGAAAGTTCAGATTTAAAACAAAACTTTCATTCAGCCAAGCGCTTCCTGACTCAATGTCCGATTTCCCAACCAGCTCTAAATTGATTATTGCCTTTCCTAAAGGACTCTAAAGATAGGTTTGCGTGTTTGTGTGCAGTTAGCATTAACAAGCAACGGTGTCCTGTGTGATTTCACTTAGCACATGCGAATCCTGTGCTTTCAATTAGAGAGACATGACCTAATCACTCATCCTAATCTGGTACGTGGAGATAAACAAGAGTTGTTTTTTTTAAATGACTGTAACCAGACTGCTTTTAGACTAAACACTAACTCTGCAACATTAACCTTTCTTTCCAGCAGATGTTCCAAACCCAGAAAGAAACACTGGCAACCTTTAAAAAAAAACAAAAAAAAAAAACACACAACTAAAACCTCTAATCCAAGGGAAAGTCAGAGTGACAGACAGAAATGTCTGACCCGCTCAGCAGCAGGCAGCCAGTGGTTTAATGATTTGTCTACTGCTGGTGAATGATCACACAGCAATATCCTGTTCTGGCTAGTTCTGTGAACCCCCCCTGAAGGCCCTGCCTGACATGATTCTGGCGTGCTTTGGTGCCAGCTAGCCCATCATATTGACAAGATCCGGGTGTCTGCCCCCCGTGCCTAATGTGACCCTCCGAGGACCTCTGGAATGAAAATCGACGAGGCAGAAGAATTACATATTGAAGCCGCCAGGGAAGGCTGCGATGCTGGACGATGAGAAGAGAGAGGCGGGGCTGGTAAAGTCACTAACAAAGCTGTGAAAACAAGATGCTGGCACCTTCCAAAATTCTTCAGCGCTTATGCAATGTAAACCAACCTTGTATATAATCATTGTAATATCATAGGGCTGGTTTATAACTCAAATGATTGGCATTCAGTCATTAACGTATTGAGGTAAGACAAATACTGCAATTTATAACAGCTTCTGTTGTACTAAAGTCTGCAGCTAACAATTAGTGTGTTATCTATAGATTCTTTTAGACATAAAAAGTAAGTTGAGACTAAGATAAAAAAAATTATTATTTTTTTGCCAAAATGTTGAAATTGTCTAGTTCTACCTTGTCACGCATGCATATTTTCTACTCTTCATGGTGTTTTGAGAACAGACACTTTTCCCTCCAGCCCATAAAATGGAAGATTAACTTATAATTAAGGCAATAATTACAACAATTATTATCTTTTTAAAGTTCCTCTTTAGTTTTCCTTCAGTCATTTCATCTGGCATCAGGAGAAGAACTTGAGTCTGAGAGGCCACCTGTACCTATCCTTCCCTCCATGCTTACAGAAGGTCAAGAGCAGGCGTGGGAGGATCACCAAAGAACCAAAAACAGTCACAGAGAAATGCAGGACTGCCAGGTCAGAGGGCAAATGTGGAGAGGAGGAAGACAAAAAGCATAACCTATTATTCAGTGCAGCCTGCTCACCACCTAAGATTAGACATGCATGCAGGTGAAAACGCTCTCCTGATGAAACCCATCCGCAGGTCACTGCCGACCCTCCCCAGTCTTGGTAGTACAACATGCCCTGAAACTTGGAGAACTCCTAAAACTCCCCCAAGAGGCCTCAGAGTGCATGCTGCAGGTCTTTATTTCACTCGGTGACATTTGGGTGCTCTTCATATAAACTGTGGTTACGTGGCTGTGTGCTTCAGCGCTGTCAATAAAGGGCTTTTGTTGCTGCAGTGAAAGCGCACTCTTGATTTATGCATGCCAAGGGTAGAAAACCCTCGACTGACCTCTAAGGTGCCAGACTGGCATTTTAAAATAACAGTTTAATACTTTTTAAAAAATGCGTGTGAGCTGGGGGACAAGAGGTAATGAAGTACAGAGGAGGGTTTTTGCGATTAAAAGACAGCATGGACTCCAGAGCCGCCCGCTGCTAACATCTTATTTTCTGCTCTGAAACGTCGAGAGAGAGTAATGTAAAAGCCGAAAGCTGGAGTTTTAAAAAATGGCTTAGAAGTAAAACACTAAAACGATGCATTTTCCACACCTCCCTTTGTCTCTGTTGGGGTTTCAGCTACAGCGCAACAAGTGCAGCTGAGGTTGAAGTCTGCGACGGCACGCACGAGTACGGAGTCGCGAGGCTACAGCCCTGAATCACTCCGCGTTTTAGAGAGGGGGACAAAAAACACAGATGCTACTTTCACCGAGCAGATAGCCGCAGGTTAAACATTTCACTGAACTTAAAGGTACTCACTGTGGGACGTTTCCCGGTGCGTACGGAGATGAGGGTTGAGGCAGTGTGACAAAGTTTGACTTGACGCTCTCTCTCTCAGCTCAGCATGGCGGCGACTGAGGCCACAGAGTGGATTCAAAACTCTCCGGGCTGATATCAGCAGACAGGGGGAGGGTGCACAGGGAGGCGGCGAGAAGACAAGGTATCTCCAGAGAGCGCACAGCCACATTCAGACAGGCTCCTCTTTTCTTTTTTCTTTTCTTCCAGGCGACCTGTCTAGACTGAAAAGACTATCATTTTGAAATACTGTACTTAAAAAAATTAAATACACTTTTTAAATAAATCCTATCGCACCTTACATTTACTGCACATACTCGGATATTGTATTAACAATATTTTATACTGCTAGTAAAAACTTTAATTTAATTTATAACATAAATAAATAAATAAAATTATGTATTAGATGGGTTACTCAGGATATGTTAAATAGGAGATCTGGAATGTTGTTTCTGTTTCTGTTCATTTATTTCTTTCAGGAACCAAAATACATTAATTACATAAAAGGAAAAGATGTAGTGTATCACGTTTAGCTGCCAGGTAATTTCCTTGTGCAGTTCCTGGGCATGTAAAACACATTACAAAAACTCACATTCCCACATATATACACATGCAGACACACAATAACAAAAGATAAACAACTCAAAAATACTAAAATATCTTCTTATTTATTATATTTTAATATTTTTTGATTGATATTTATGCAGTGTGCATTGTCACTTCAGTTCCAGCTCCCTACTTTTAAATGCATAGATAGATAGAGCTAGCAGACCTACTTGAACTCAGTCATGAAAAGTAACATTGAGGTACTTGTTTACTTAGGTTTATGTAAATCAGCTCTCCATAAAAATACAAAATCAAAATATTATGTGTAGTATTGTGCTCATGTTTCCAAATGTCATCCACAAACAAATAATCACAGCTGCACTTTTATTATCCTTTTATGAATGTTTCATTTGTTCTTTTTCAGCTTTAAACCATAATAGGCGGCTCCCAAAGGAAGATCATAGTGCGGATGTTTACTATACAGTAATAGGCGACTGATTTGTATATTTTAATGATATTTCATTATACTTTAACAGAGACTGACCTGGCTCAGCAGCCGCGTCTAACTGATGTCTAATTATATCTGTGGATATTATTTTAAAGTTTCACAGTCTTGCACTGCTTTTCACGTATTGTCTTTATTTTTGTTAACATCCTTGTGAATAATCCATCTGTAGGTGGGACCACTGGGTTCAAAAGATCACTGCCAAAGTTCAAAGGTTACACAATATTTTCCTGAAGGAGAAGTGACTTGAAAACACACTGGGGAGGGAAAGACAGACTGACCCTTGTCTTGTTGTGCAGGACAGAGAAGGAGGGAGTGGGGCTTTCCATGGCACCGCAAGCTGAAAACAATACCATCTTTGAGTCAACGACAGATTGCTGCTGCTACAAGATAGAACAGTATCACAGTACACCTCTGTGACTACTTTGTGGGTTCACTGAGCAACAAATGCCAAGAACTTTACCTGCCCAGCTGAGCTGCAGTAAGCCTCTAATGTCCTTTATTGCAAGTCGTTGGTTAGGCTGTACCCTTAAACATGCCAGCGCTTCCAGGCATCTTCTGCTCAACTACAAATTGTTTATTTTCATATCAGCCCCCGGTGATTTGAGAGCTTTGAGCTGAAGGCTGGCTGTAGTTAAAAGGGGACGGCCAGTGCTGCCCTGAAATGAATACGAAAAGCAGCTGGGTTTATCTTCACTCACTCTGTGACATGTGCTTCTAAGAGAGAACAGGTGACCCAGGAGGAGGAATGTATGCTAACTTAAATGTAATGCTGCAGCTCGAATTATTTGCTATCACTTAAAAGACCTGCATTTTACATCACATTAGATTTACTAATGCTTGTTTTTCTAGGTCTTTCTGAGCTTGTCTGCCTCACCTTGTTTAAATAGACGTCCAAACTTATGTTTGTTAGTGTTAAAAAAAGACCGATATATGGATTAAAGAATCTTATTTTCCTGTTGCTGTTGATAGGAATATCAAATGATTGCATGAAATGAAAAAAGCAAGAGAGTGAGTGTCAGAGCACTAAGTAGATGCACATATACTTACACACACTGGCACACAATAGAGCAGAAAAATTAATAGAGCAAGGTGTAGCTTTCCAGTGTAAGTATATGATCTTCATGCCCAAGCCCTTCAGACACACTGGTTGGATATATTTAGAGTCCCTCGTCGGTGTATCCATGCTACAAGGCAGGCCGTAATTATTCCCAACAGTGGAAGGGCCAGTGCTGGTCTGAGATCAGTAAAGAGGAGAGTGCGTGTGTGTGTGTGTCAACTGGTACGGGACAGGATTAACGCCACAAGAGTCAGAAGCCAGCTCTGCCAGTGGTCCATTTGCATTGAAAGTAAGCCCAGCAAACTCAGAATGTTTTGCTGGGCTTGTTCTTACATTCAAATGCTAAGTAGTGCAATTCTAAAGAAATTAAGCCGTAAAAAACGTAACCATGTGATCTATAATATCAGTACAAGAGCAGTTGAAGAGCGTGACTGGTTCACTTCATGGCGCTGAAATAAAAATGATGATAATAATAACAACATATGGCAGAGAAGTGAGCTTTTCTTGTGACTTTTTTAGTCATCTGGTAAGCAGTCTGTGGGAAATTGGACCCTTGAATGCTGAATTCATGTGTGATTTTATCACAGGCGTGCAGAAGTGAAAGAGGAAAGGAGTTTTTTGGGCTCCTTATTTAGCTGGTCTCTCCTCTGTATTTACTTTTTGTTCTTATTTTCCTTTTCTAATAAGCCATGCACAATGAAACGCATGGTATTTGTTTTACAAAGCCTAGGTACTTCTCTGAATTCAACGCCTAGTTATGAACACCAAAACAACTAAGGCAGCTGATATGTTTGCCTGAGGCAGCAAGGCTACAGTAAGTATGTGGTGCTAGATTATATATGTTTGTGTTCTTTTAATTTTACACTGGACCGCAGTAATAGAAACAGTCATCTGTGCCACACAACAGCACAGTGTCAATTTCAAATCTCATTTAGAAATGTTTCTGAATACCTTGAACACTCTAATGTTATGCCCTACCAGCGCTGCAAACCAGTATTGCTCTGCAGCAGGTGTCTGCCTGAAGTCTGACAAAGCAGTACCATCTAGTGGCAAATACTGAACATGTCAATATGTTTACATGAACCATTGCCCTCACATCTACTGCCATAGACTGTATAGAAAAAACAGCCTGCTGCAGTTATCCCAAATGAGTTAACTGCGCCCCCTGGCTGCCAGCTTTCCAATGTGTCCGATTGTCGACAGATATACCCTACAATGACTGTTGTTAACCCCACTCCCTGTCAGTGGCCTCCATGGTATCATCATCAAATCAATATGACTGCAAGTTTTCTGATTGCACCAACAGTTTTGTTGGATGCAAAGAATCAAGAGTAACCTTAGCGAACTCCTCTACTTACCTCATGTTTAACCTACAAGAGATCATCACTACTTAATATATTTGGTGCACTTGAATGAGTTCTGAGAATGAGCAAATGCATGTTTAAATTATGTAATCAAATCACAACATGATCACAAACTTCCACTACTGTTCTAAAAACATGCACCATTTTCAGTATGGGTTTTTTTTTGTGCCACTATTTTGCAAGCACACTCAGAAGAAGTTATGAATGAATATTACCACAAACCACCATTAACCATGATCAGTGAAGCATCCAATGGCACAATCCTGGGAGGTCAAGAGTAGCAAGTGATACAGTGCTGCTCCCAAAATATCTAAGCTGGGACTGAAGTGAGTTACATGACATTTGCAGCATATATTTTAATAAAATTACACTGCAGTGTAGCTGTGAGTAAAGCTGATTAAAAATAAACATTTGCGACAGGTTTCAGGTGCGTGCCCTTCGTTTTAATAGGCTTTAAGTTTCAACACTGAAATATAAATTCAGCCATTTCTGCGGGGCGGGCCGATAACTCGCCCTCCAATCAGCGGCTACAATGGGTTAACATGTGCTCCCAGACGACCAATAGCGAGGGGCGGACTAGGCCGTTTGCCGCACCCAAGTGAGGATGATGGCGGCTGGGCGGAGCGACGACGCGGGGACGACAAGCGCAGAGAGATAAACCCCGCCGTGAGGAAAAATAGCGAAAACCGTTGTCCTGCTTTCACCGTGTTCTGTTTAAATATCACCATTTCATCAAAGAGAGGGTAAGCGCTGATATAATCAACGTGGTTTGCATTTCAGCGACGGTGTTTATCCGTGGCGGCTTCTTCATATCGGTGTCTTTCTCGCTGTGTGTTCAGTGAGGCTCGGGTCTGTTTTGCTAGCATGTTGGCATTGAGCGGGGGAGTCTGCACAGACGCTGCTGTGCACTGTTAAACGACTGTTTCTGCGTTTCACTGTCCTTTATTAAACAATTCACATGGGCTCAGCTGCTCCCCTGGACCCCACACTTTGGTAGTCAGAATGTTTTACACTAAGTATCGTTAGCATTCTTTCCTAGCAGGCCTGTGATGGTGGAGGTGGTATTTTTATTTTATTATTTATTGGCGCAGAGTTACCGTTGCGTTGTAATTTGGACCTCTCTAGCTGTTCGGGTCGATAGGTTTAGTCGGACAGAGGCTCCTCGCCGTGCAGGTCTTACTCTAGTCTGGGTGTGTTTCCAAAGAGTGGGGGAGAAATTTGGGTTCTTTCCAGCTGTGTGTGTGTGCTGGTGATGGAGCAGTTTCCTGTGCTAGGTCAGACAGCTTTATGTCCTGCATGATAATATGGGCTCGCACACACTTTTAAATAATAAACAGGGTTTTCAAAAGAGAGCAAGAGAAACGCGTGGAATAATGCATTCTGTCAAATGGAAAGCTTGAAATGTATAGTACAGAAATGAGGGCTAGCTGAAAGCCTAAAAGTGTTATGGCTTGATGTGCATGGCATCTGGAGTGGGTACCACACCACATAGATTTTTGTTGTTGTTGTTGTTGTTGTTGTTGTTGTTTTTTAAATCTATCCTTAAAGGATAAATTTCATTTATTAGTGTGGCTTATACAACTGTAAATTGATCACCTTTTGATAACGTGGTGTTGCTCACAAAAAGGTTTGTCATATTTGTGCACTAAAACAATGATAGAAAATATCTACTTGTAGCCTTAAATGTTCACCTTGAATAAGGATGATTGAAAGATGGTCAATCTCAATACAGTTGCTCATTTGTTTTGAGGCCCATGCTTTCGAACAGAGCCCCTAAGCTGTGGCTGTGTCTGGCTTGTTTATAAAGTCTGCTAGGAAGTCCCTTCCCCCACTTTGTACTGTATGAGGATTATCAGAGCCAAACTGCCAAGATAAATTGTCTGTGAGTGTATGTGTTGAGGCACGGTAACTCCCTGGATTTGGTAACTCTGCCAGAATGAGCGAAACTCCCAGAGGATGGTGTTTAGCTTCGTCAGTCTGCTGCCACCCTCGATACACACTGAACTACTTCACATACACACTTACTGTAGATGCAGAGCTCTGTGTTTAACTCCCACTCCCCACACCTACACGCTTGACTTCAGTGCAGCTGAAAATGTGTTCCTCATTTTAGCTCCCTTCTCGCCGTTTCACTTTTTCCTTCCTTCCTCTCCATATGTGATCAGTTATAGCAGCATCTCAGGTGGTAGTGGCAGATGTGAAAATGGTCATTGGTGAACTTTAATTTGCACCATAGAGGTCACCAAAGATCATGTAAATTTGATGCAGCTGTGTTTAGGTTGCATATTTAGCTGGCAGATACATGCATACAGAATAGCATAGGCCTTAGTGTAATGCTAGGGAAGCTGCACAGGGAGGAGTGTGTTGTTTCAGAGAATGGTCTTCCACCACCCTGTCCCATGTGACATACGACAGGCAGATGAATCTTGAACTGCATTTTCACAGTAGGGTTAAAAAGTGTCTCACCTTGTCATGGCAGTTACAAAAGATATCGTTTCCATACTCATCGACCCACTGAGGGTGATGCAGTTAATGTAGCACACAGTAAATATAGCACTACCAGCCTGCTGAAACACTCCCTGTGAGGCACAGATGGAACGTCGGAGCCGTGTTGGCTGGGATGCATCACTGCACAAATGAAAGAGGGAGAGTTTAGTGCCCACTTTTACAGCCTATACCAGTGAGAGAGCAACAAATTATAATGTCTTAGATGCCAGCAAAGAAATTTCAGTTTAATTTAAATATAAGTTTCGGCTGCAGTTAATCTGTTTTTGCAACACAGTGTAACTCCCACCTTGTTTGTAGTGTGTGCATTTAACAAAAAATATAAATGTAAAAAATGCTTGATGCTTAAGGGGTCGACGTTGGCCAAGCTGTGCTTGGAGTACCCTGGGATCTAAGCAGACTCCTTGCTGCATGTCGATTCTGTGGTTTTGTTTGTTTGTTTGTTTTTTTGTTTTTTTCCCCCTCTCACATTTCCTGCGATTCGCTTCAACCGCATGATCAAGAAATGCAAAGTTTTTTAAAAAGCCCCAAAAAATGGACCAAAAAAAGTTGTCTCATTTTGAAAAATAAGGTTTCAAGATTTCACTTAGCTTTGACTCTTAAGTCCTATGTTTGAATATGAAATGGAAAAAAGGAATTACTTGTTTAAATTAGGGCTGCCACGATTAGTCGACTAGTCACGATTACGTCGACTATCAAAATCGTCGACGACTGATTTAATAGTCGACGCGTCGTTTGAAGCTTTGTAAGATCCCAAAAGACGCAGGAATAAGTAGTAGGATTTAAGAGTGTAATAACGGACTGAAATAGAAGATGGCAGCACTGCATGTACAAGGATGCCAACTGCCGTTAAACCCCGAAGAAGAAGAAACTGTGTCCCAGAATTCATAGCGCAGCCCAGCTCAGTTTCCAACAATGGCGGCAGCTGCTTAGTTTTAATATTACTCTTATTATTCTTTCTGGGTCACAAAATAAACGTTTAACATATTTTCAGGTGAGAATGTAGCTGTGTAAACCTCAAATATCTGCTCAGTTTATCAAGACACCACATATTTTCAAAGCGCTCCGACGTTTTCGGAGACGTCTGTTACCCACTAGCTCGATAGTTAGCCGGGGGCAAGGCTCACTAGAGCCGTGAGAACACCGGACTCCCAGCAAATTGTTTTCAAACCCACCGCCGTCTTTCGCTACTCAGGTTAAACATACATAAGTCACTTAGATAACTTAAAAATGTTAGTGTTTGGCTTTTTGTAGTATTTTATTTGTTCCTGAGTAAATTGGTTTGGCTGAGATCAAAGTTATAGTTTTTACACAGCTGAATAAACGTCAAGCAGACAACTGATTATCAGAAGTGTGAGATGCTCGAGAATATACTCCGGTGTCCTGTTATATTTTAGATAGCAAGGAGTTTATTAAACTTCACCGAAACAATCTGCAAATGTCATTAAAATTTAATAAACTATCATCTTGTCTTTATTTTTAGTTACCACATACCTTAAACACTTAAAGCTGTAAGCTAATGATAGTTATATAAGAGCAGATGTTGCTGGTGCAATAAGCTGTACGTTTTATGTCCAATGGATGCATGATCTGATTAGTCGACTAATTGCAAAAATAATCAGTGACTAGTCGGCTATCAAAATAATCGTTTGGGACAGCCCTAGTTTAAATGCCCCCTCCTCTTTTTTTGACATTATTTCTGATCAAGGAAAAAAAATAGTATTAATGTAAATTAATGTCAATAGCCTTGTTTACATGGGCACAAGTAACCTCATTAAAAGCCTGTCTGCATTTAAAAAGAAGTGTAAACATGCCAATTTGAAGATTGTTATGTGATCATGCTCCTTTAAGGTGATTAAAATTTCCAATTGTTAATCGGTTTGATCTGTATGTAAATAGTTCTTCCAGTGTTCAGGGTGAAATTATTCTTGCTCTACATGTCTGTTACATCAACACAACAAAAACAAGTTGAAGGTCTGTTCAAAAAGGAAAAATAACACAAACTTCACAAATGTTAGAGAGGGGAGAAGCTGAAATCTGTGACATGCGGTGTTTGTTTACATTGGAAAAGACAACTGCTTCTACTGTTTTCCAGAAAGTTAGACTATTCTGCGCTTGTCAAATGCTTGGATGTGTGTAAATGCAGGTAATGGTCAGATCACTTGGTTTAGTTTCTATGTAAACAATGACGTTATATTACAGGTTTTAATTAGATTTACATTTTGCACGTGTAAACATGGCTAATGAGAGCAGCATTATGTATTTGATTTGCTGCCTCTTGATTTTAACACGTTAGCTTGTTTAATTTAATGAGAATGAAATAGTCTCTAAAAGTGCTGGTAGATTGCTTTGTTGATACAGCTTCTTTAATTTTCAGTGGAGTGCACAAAACAAGACAAGACAACATGCACTGGGCAGAGCTGGAATGACACCTAATGCATTCTTTCTGGTAATAGCAGCTAGAGATGACGCTTTCACACACGCAGAAATACAAGAGTTACTATTGGATTCTTTATTCCCAGTGATGATAGGCATCCAGCTTGGAGATATAAGGAGTTATTGTCTCAGAGCATCTGTCAAATAGCTGAAAACAGATAAAAAGTAGTGATGGTCTTTCTGTTTCTATGTTTGTTTGTTTTTCTTTTCCCACCCCTGAACAAATCTTTTCAGTCTCTCATTTGATTGGCATATTTTTGGACACAACAAAATAGATCTTTTAGTCTTAGCTTAGTCATGCGGAAAAGATGGTTTTAGTGCAAGCTTCTGTCTCTCAAAAGTAAATTATGATAACACTGAAGTGTGAACGAATACACTGAGTGGTTGGGAGTTTTTATTAAGAGCCGGGCGCACAGAGATGAAAGCCCGGGGCTGGTCTTCATGTGCCACCTCGTCTGTGTTTTTGTTTTTCTGCCCATCATTGTCTCATCAGTCTCTGGAGTATGGAAACATTTGTATCGGGTGTTGTCAAAAGAGTTCAAAACATCAGTCACCAGGAGAGAATGTGGTTATTTGCTTAGTACAACAGCTTATTGTTCATCTTCCTGTTTAAGAGTAAAAATGTATATTGTAATAGAAGGTCGTGACTAGGATCTGGAGTATTTTGTTGTGATACTTTAAAACTGTGGACAGACTGTCACTTTCAGTCTGTGTCAGAGGCTATTGGTAGTTACTGGTGAAAGCTCTGTAGCATGGCTCTTTTTTGGCAGGATAAGATTTTTTAGGACATTAATTTGTCAGGTGTGCCATTAGTTCGGTAAATATATTGCCCTGATCCCTACCTTATTTATCTAAAATTTTGTGCTTATTTTTAATTAAGTAATTTGCAGGGTTTTCTAAGGTTTATTTGTTTGGCGTATATTGAATCAAATGCTGTTTAATAAAAAATAAATAAATCACACTTTCCTCAGTCAGTGTGAAACCAAATGTGCTCTTTTATCAGCTTTAGCACCCTGTTAAAAGAGAGACCTCAAACAAGGGGATTTTGCCATTACTGCAGTTGGCGATAAGGGAGTCTGACACTGTTCATCAGCTAGAGCTTGCCTGAGAGCAGAGTTTCTTAGTCTTCAGTTCTGTTTCTGATTGCCTTTGCTGCAGGCTGGGGTTAACATGGTTGTTGTCTCTCCAGTATGCAGTATCAAAAGATCATTATTCACATCTCCACCCCACAGCTAGTCTTGTAGCAGCTAATACATTTTTACACAAACCTCTGTGTCCCTTATTTTTAGTTAAGGCGGAGAACACACTGCTGAGATGAAGTGATGATAGTAAAGGTAGCTATAAAGTCCCCGGCATTTGCAGGGCAGTCTTCAAACACTCCCTGAGCTCTATTCAGCAACTACAGAGCACTTTCCAATACGGATTTTCCAGTGGGTGTGGTTACAAAAGCCAAAATGTCCTATGTAATCCATTACTGCATGATTGATGATATTAACTTTGCTTCCAAAATAATTCCTGCAAGATTAAATTATAACAACCAGGATAGACATATTTACCTCTCAGCCTTGTTGTCACCTGGGAGGGTGAGTGGGTGAATGGCTTGGACACCTAAATGCACTGAAATAACTTGAAAATGAGGCAACATAGGAGCTTGAAATTGACATTATAGGTGCATCTACTAAAAATCCTGGACTACTTCAGACTAAGAAACCAAGAGCAAAAGCAACCGGATATACTGCTGTCATACTCTAAATGGCACCATAGTGGAAGTGGAATTCTTTTCTTGTAGTCTTGTGGTCTGATAGCGAATGGCCAAAATAGTTAAATGAGTGGCACATTAATTCCAAGGTGTGCTTTCTGACACTGACTGCCTTGGAGTGTGATGTTGGCCCACAGCTGTTCTTACATAACAGCAATCTTTATAGGCTGTCCTGTGTTTCCATGGTGATGTGTTTGGTTTCCAAGGCAACTGTACTCCTAACAGGAGCTGAGGCCAGCTGAACACATGGACCTACATTTCTTAGGAGAAAGGAGGAAAGGGCCTGGTGAAATGGCAAACTTTCTGTGTCTGATGATGTTTTGCTTACTCTGTCCACAAGGAATAAACGCTTTTGAGATCTGATCATTTGTCACTTGTAAACAGCAGAAAAGAGTTGCACTGAATATGCTCCTGCTGGAATTTGCAGTGTCTGTTGTTTAACAGCTGGAGGGACTCTGTTGATGTTTGAAGTGAGGCTGAGTGGAGTAAGAAATTATGTATCAAATGCTTTTGAGATGGCAGTGAAAGTGACCTTATTCAGTGCTGTTTGAGGGTTTTGTTAAATGCATAAAATTAAATGTTCCTTTTGACCTTTCTGTGCTTTGTTTACGCAGGTATGGCAGTGGATTTGAAAGCTAGCAGATTATTGTGTACCCTTTGTCTTCTTTCTCTCACAGCTCTCCTTCTCTCATCTGCCTCTATGTGGTTTGAATATAATTTAAGAGATACATGGTTCCACCTGAATTTGCAGCACTAAGCAGAACTTTTAGCATTGTGCATTGCCGGTTTGGATTCTAGGGTGATGGCAGCTTTAAATGAAAGGATCCTATTACAGTGTTCCTGCAGTCCTTTAGTCCGCAGAGTTGGCTCAATGTGAACAAGATTTAGGATTCCAATCAGACCTAAATGTTGTTTTCATGGTTTTACTATATTAACTTTGTCTCAAAGAACCTTATTAATTATTAGTATCTCCAAAACATTTTTTTTTAAAATCAAAAAACCTATCAGTACTTGTCTGATTAGAAACTTCAACACAAGCACAAATTTCTTCATTGCCACCGAGTGCTAATGGACTGAAAAAGATGCAGAGTTAAAGCTTTTCTAAACAGTCTCAATTTTGATATTGATTGTAGGGCATTAAGCTCAAATGGATAATGCTGATATGTTGCTGACTTGCGATAAAATGCTGTGGGCCATTAGTGTCAATAATATCTGTAGGTACTTTTTTTCCCCCCTAACCAAAGTAAGTCACAAAAGTCCAGTTTCATCAAACGCGGTTTATTTATGCACTTATTCTGTGAAATATCATATAAACATTTTGCGGTCTTACAATTCACGCGGTTTCAGATTGTGAAAATGCTGGCAAACCTTCTCCACTTCTCAGATGGCTCTAAATTGGTGTGTTTTACACTCAGCATGAAAAGGTATATTTCTGTATTGTGGTGTTGATTTTTCTGCGTTTCTTGACTGTGGGTACAATTTCTTTGCCTCATTGCCATTAACAGTTAACACCATCAACAGGAAATGTAACGTGGCTTTTCAGCAAATTAAATCAAAGTGAAAAAGATGTGACTAACTGTCTGGAAGCATTGAGACCTTTTTCTGGTAACCCACTCTGACATGGGTCAGTGTTTGAAGAACTGCAGACACTGCAGTGTTGTCAGATAGCTTTGGTATGTGTTAGTCTCAACTCTGCCTGTCGCTATTATGAATAAAGTGAAATGATTGTACAGTGATTTTAAAAAGTTCATGATGTATGAATAGCTTACTCTAGAAGAGGTCACTGCCTTGCAACAGCATGTAACAGCTGTTTTGGACGCTAAGTGATGCAAATTGTCTTTCTTAGCCTGATTTAATTAATTTGGCACATGGGCATCAGGGCAGCTGGTGTGGTGCTGCAACTTCAGCAGAGGCGATTGTGATGGTTTTTGAAAGTTCAGCAATATCTGCCCACCTTCAAACCACAGCTTTGCTCGATCATCAGAGCTGCTTCCAAATGTTACTGTTTGCTCAGCATTGGTAGGATTTTACTCGTGATATGTAAACAGTCAGTTTTTTAGGTGGGGGATCAGTGAGGAGTGAAAGAAGAATGTTGATACTGATAAGTGAAAAAGGATTGGCCCGATTGGTTAGTCTGATAATTGCATGATCCCTGCATACATGCATAAAATACTTACACTTATTGCACCTTTTTAAAGAGCATTCTTTGGGTTTTAAGTTGTCGTTCTGGATGTTTCGCACATCACACTAGAGCCAAAATGATTATCACTATTTTTTTTTTTTTTTTAATCTGTATTGAGATTCTGATTATTCATTTTTAGTGACAAAAATGTTTTTATTACACTTTCGTGTGAACATAACAGTGCTTTAACATCCATGTTGTGCTACATTGCAGCTAATGTACAGATTTTTAGCATAAAGATAAAATTTGTCCTCCTCGTTCATGTAAATTCAGTGAATTTCTCAGAAGAAAATTTGTAAATAATGAATCAAGTTTCACCAAAACGTAACACTAACTGAAATACATTTACATTGAGCTACAATCCTGGTAATTAAAACATTTTTGCAGACAATGAGGTCCACTTGACCTACGTGCCTCTCCTAGAGGCAAAATATAAAGTCTTTAATTCGTGTTGCTTTGCAGTGCAACAACAGCTCTTCAGCACTCTATGATTTCCTCTTGGTTAACATCACTAAAATTATTTCCTAACAATGGATGGTGATGTTCACCTTTGACTTTGGTTATCTGTCTATCTGTAGTATTACTTATCCATACTAGTCCAGGAAACTTGCACCGTGCTGGGAACAGCTGTGATCGGCTCGTGGAGGCATTAACTTGGCGCTGATTTAGGTATCGCTTGATTTGCTGTTACTTGGTGACTTCAAAAACTTCATTTAATTATCGGAAGCGAAAATTGGGATGGATATTAAAATGTGATTAATTGTGCAGCTCTCCATCAAACTAAATATAGTCGATTTTTTTTTTTCATATTTTTAAGCAGCGTGACAAAAGCTGCCACTGCTTCAGTTTTTAAAATGATTGATTTGCCCCTTCATGTACTGAGGATCCGTCATTAACACCTTTTAGCTTCACATGACACATTAATGGCTGAAGAGCAGAAAGCTTTGTACTATGACCTGTAAAAGTTGTTTTTCTAGTCCTATTGAGGCTCTATGTGATTGGCATATATTTCAGTGACTTCATTCATAATGATTCATCAGGTTGAGAACTTCCATGATTTGTGACAGATGGCTTAAATATATGTGCAAAAGTACACAATCAAAGCAGTGCTGCTGACAAATTTTATTAAATATGTAACCTTTTATGCTGTACATTTAAAAAATAAAGTATATTTTGTTGATAGAGATTGACCAACAACATGGAAAAAATTACTATTTGGAGATTCCCTTGCATCATTAATAGGCCAGGGACAGAGGATCTCTCTCCCTAATGAGTGTCTGGCATCAGATCTCAGTGCTCTGTATTCCTCTGTCAATAACTCACGCCCTAGTTACATGACTGAATCAAAACTGAGTTTTCTTTTCCTGAATGGTTTCAAAGAGTATGCAGCCTCGCTGTCTTTTCTCATTCTCTTATTTCTTAATTGCACTTTAAGTTGGTTTTTATGACAAAAGGAAAGCAACAGATAGGAAAACAAAAGGTGAAGAACATAAAAGTGCTTGATTTTAGGAAATCGGGGACGAATGCCATTGCAAAGATAGCCATGTCAACCTCAGCTGTCTCCTCTTTGGACAGAGTCTGGAGTTTCCTTACACGTGGAAGACGTAAGGATTATTTTGTTTCAAGTATTTACATTTTCATTATTTTGCTCAATGAGTAATACTAAAAATGATAATTCTAAACACTAACCTTTTTGATAGAATGCACAAAATGTAGGAAATGCATGTTTAGTTTGAATGTAATTGGTAAATTGAATTTAAACACATTTATCTTAAAATAAGGGTCTTTTTTTTTTACATAATGCTAAATAAAAGGAAATGTATAAAAGTGCAATTAAAAGATGGAACCAAGCAGTAAAAGCAACAGTTACTTTGTATCTCGGCACTGCTGGAGTGAAAGGTCTGCCGAAAGCCTTTAATTGAAATGCATAGGGGACAAGCAAATGGCACTAAAGTTGGACATCCCATAAGCATTAGGAGGTAAATCAGTTGACCAGCCAAACTAGTGCTGCTAAATGTAACTGCTATCTTTAATGGGTCTCAGACTTTTGTGATGTGCTTTACTGTGTTTAAGTGACATGTTTACTGATATTAGATTTTAAATATTAGATTTACAATAATTACTTTGATATGATACATACCTGTTATCATACTTAATAAAGACACTTTAATAAAGAGACGGTGCATGTTTAGGGCTTATCTTTGGTCTCTGTCAGTGGTCTTTAATTATTATATTGTTGGTCTGACTATACCACACATGAAGGTATTACAACCTGCCTATCTGTTGTACAGATTAAGTTTATTAAGTAAAAAAAATTGGACAAAGTATTGTTGGTGTAGAATTTGCAAAACGGGAAACCAAGTCCTGATTTAAATTCGTGACCTCAGATCTGTGGAAATATTGGTGTTATTGATGTGGAAAATCTCAGAACACCAATAGAAGTGGACAGGAAGAGAAAAAAGAGGGTCCGTCAGCTCCCTCTGTGATGCTGGATGCTTTGAGTTCAGTATGCTGTTGTCATGGCACTTTTGGCTCAACATTTGTATTGATTTGAACTAATGGGCTCACACACACACACACACACACACACACACACACACACACACACACACACACACACACTCTTCCTCATGAGTTTGTCTGTGCCCTTGAAAGACAGCACTTGAGTACTTTGTCCAGTGACAGACAGCTGCGAACTATTTATCCTTACAAGCACTCAGCCAGGAGGATCAACTTGGATCTACTATAAATCTGGCTTCATGTCTGCAGATCCCTCACTATTGTTGTTGTCAGTTTATAGTTTTATAGCAGCTGCTTTAGGTAATATGCAAAGCTGTAAGAAGTAACTGTTAGAATTAGCGGGCTATATGCTATAAGTCATGTCAACAACATAACAGAACATGCACTGTTATAGCTCACATGACTGAGCAGGGAAACCCATACACTGTAAGGCTATAGCAGAGGCCTGATTTTGAGTCCGCCTCAAGGTCATTTATTGCTCATCTTCCCCTTGTTTGTTCTCCCAGCTTTTGCCTTTGCATCACTGTCCTATCTAAATGAAGAAGAAAAAAGAAGTAAATATCTATCACAAAGATCATGAAATAACAAGATACAGCTGGCTGTATTTTCAGTTTCTTTTATTTCCTTTGGCCAGAGTTGACAGTGGAGTGCTGTTGTGATTTCAGGAAACACATTGTGGAAATCAATGATAACCTCTATGTGGTCACATGACCAAGGCAGGATGTAAGGGCGGTATGGTTTGCATGATTGGCTTTCTGGTTTAACGATGGGTGATTCTCATTTCCTCTTTTACAACAGGAAACTTCCTTAAGTTAAAGCACTTTGTAACCAAGCTTCAAATACAGATGGTGTTGACTGTTATGATGGAAATCTATATACTGTATGTCAGACAGTACATAGGTGTGCCATCAAAACACACACAGAAAGTACTAATTTTGATTTATATTCTAGTAAAAGGATAACCACTTAAAACATGAATTGCTTTCAAATTATATGTTTAGCAGTTTTTGAATTAGTATTAAATTGAACAATTTCTTTCTCATTTTACAGACTACATTATGACCGTAAGAGCTACATTAAGCCTACCACACAAACCCACTTAAAAAATGTACAATGTTACCATTTGTTTTACTCTATTAGATGTTTAACAGTAGTCTCTGACACGGTTACAGGAGGCCAGCCCAGGATGAACGGCGAGTCAGGTGCCGGGGTGGTGACAGCCCCCCCTCCCACCACAGCCCCCCACAAGGAGCGATATTTTGACCGGGTAGATGAGAGCAGTCCAGAGTACCAGAGGGAGAGGAACATGGCACCGGACCTGCGACAGGACTTCAACATGATGGAGCAGAGGAAGAGAGTCTCCATGATCCTACAGAGCCCCGTCAGTAGGACGTACTCATTAATTCTGCTTGTTCATGTTGTTTGGTTTTCATGGATCAGAGTCAGGTCATGGTTCATATGTTCAGAAATCTCTTGATTCGTTGATTCGTCAGCAGAATGCCCAGGACAGTGAAAAAATTTGTTCAGAGGTCGATTGTATGCATGAAAAGCACTGATGTGTAAGTTTTTACTGTGCAGAGAGAAGCTGAAGAAGTTGCCCTTTCATACAGGCTCAGTTTTATGCATTTTTGAATCTAATTAATATTAGATCTGTGTAGATCCGTGGTTATTTCTGCCTTTAGGATTTGCCCTGTTTCTGAAAGTTACTCTTACCACCCTTTAAAATTCAAAGTTGATCATTTGTTTGTTTTGTTGTTTTTTTGTTTGTTTGTCGCGTCTGTGTCAACGGCCCTCCAGGCCTTTTGCGAGGAGCTAGAGACGATGATCCAGGATCAGCTGAAGAAGGGAAAGACGCCCACAAGCCTATTGGCTCTGCAGCAGATCGCAGATTTCATGACCACCAGTATGCCTTCCATGTACCCTGCAGCACCACAAGGAGGCATGGCGGCACTCAATATGAGTAAGCAGAGAAGAGAATGGCTGTGTGTGACTTCTTGACCTCAGCCCTGCTGTGTCTGTGCTCACAATGAGTAATGCAGAGCATGCCAGAGTTGATTTCAGCACAAAGACTCTAGTCAGATTTCAGTGGCAGAACCCATCTAATTGTTGTATGTGAGATTGCCTTTTCTTTCTTTCATCACAGGTTTGGGAATGGTGACTCCAGTCAATGATCTGCGTGGCTCTGACTCCATCTCCTACGACAAGGGCGAGAAGCTGCTGCGCTGCAAGTTGGCTGCCTTTTATCGGCTGGCTGACTTGTTTGGCTGGTCTGAGCTCATCTACAACCACCTCACAGTACGTTCATTCATTCATTCCATAATAAAACGTCAGGTTGATATTTTGACACAGCTTTTAGTATGCCCATGCAGTCTGAGTCTGATGCATTGCTGCATTTTAGAAGCAAGTCTTGTAACTGTACAATGATCCTGGGATGATTCTGGGTGGTTATTTTTAAGCCCCTTTTTAAATCAAGGATAGAGTTTCAATTTCAGTGGTAACTGGGATGTGTGTACAATCACCAGTCGAAACAAATAAGACTTTCAAAAGTTTGTTGACTGTGTCACAAAATAAGGTGTAAAACATATTTTTCCTGCAGTTGACACTTCCACTGCACATAATTTCATAAAACGATGGCTTCAGTGAAGGCTTAATCCAGAGTGCTATCCTAAACAGGTCTCTTTACACCCAAAGAGACCACTGAACAAATACTATGTTTGTTCACATTATTGTCCAATAAGCAAAGAAGTAAAAAGCCCTACATCTTTTACTGTGATAATCAGCAGAGAGACATCCCAAAGATCTTCTAGAATCAACTCTCACAACTCGTTACCTATACAGGGAGTTACCTGAAAGTATTATCTAAATAGCTTTAATGTTAGTGGTCAGCAGGATGTATAACTGAAAATATACTCTGTTCTAGGGCTGCACGATTAATCGTTAGAAAATCGTGATCTCGATTCATACTTATGTGCGATCTCATTTCCAAATGACAACGATTTTAAAAAAAAAAAAAAGAAAAAAAGACGACGATTGTACCGCATTTTGATCCGGGACGTAATCTGCATGAAAACAAGCGCTCACTCTTCCTGCTCAACAAATGACAAGGGCGGAGCCTTATACCACGTGATACAGAAGCTGTGCCGTGTGATGCTAAAATTAGCAGGGAAAAAACAACGGAGAGCACGTCAGGGATGACGAGAAAGTGACAGGAGAAAATCCGTCCCGGTCAACCACCCAAACATCAATAACGGGAACCTTATACAGCGCTTCCCTATACCCGTCGAACTCCCCAGGCACAAAGAAATTACGGAGGCTATCACTTATCACCTGACCAAAGATATGGCTCCCATCAACACTGTGCAAAACGAGGGATTTAGGAAAATGATCAACACCCTAGACAAACGCTACACAGTGCCGTCCCGCAACTATTTTTCTATTGTTGCACTACCTGCTCTATACAGCAGTGTCGAGCAACGGTGGAGACGGAATTTCAAGCAGTACAACATTTTGCGGCAACAACAAAACGTGAGACATTTGTTGTTTTTATGTTTATTTATTGTTTTTATGTTCAGTCTCAACTGTTACGAAGTTGATGTGCAGTTAATAAGTGCAATAAATATTTATACTGGAAAAGAAATCGTGAGAGAATCGTGATCTCAATTCTAAGCCAAAAAATCGTGATTCTCATTTTATGCAAAATCGTGCAGCCCTACTCTGAACAGTGCACTAATCTGCACAGTAACTCCAGTTTTTTTTTTTTTTCCTCCACCATTTTTGGCTATTTGTAAATTTCTGCCATAGAAATTTACTTCTGTTCAGGATTCTGTGAGTATTGTTTCCTCACAGTGCTGCTCAGTTTGAGCCACCTTCAGTAATCTAACATTGCTGTCTTCTTGTCTTACAGGTCAGAGTGAATTCAGACCAGGAGCGCTTCCTTATTGTTCCCTTTGGGCTCCTTTACAGTGAAGTCACTGCCTCCAGTTTGGTAAGAAGCACTTCAGATCATTAATCGAGGCTTTGTTTTCCCTTTGTTATTGAATGAAGCAATTTCCCCTCATATTATAATACCTTGAGCTGCATGAGTTTACATCTTTTGAGATTAAGTTTTCAAAACGGGGTTATACAACCTTATACAATCTGCTATACCATCTAGGTGAAGATTAATCTCCAAGGTGAAATGGTAGACCGTGGCAGCACCAACCTTGGAGTCAACCAGGCCGGTTTCACTCTCCACTCTGCCATCTATGCTGCACGTCCTGATGTCAAGTGTATCGTACATATACATACACCTGCAGGGGCAGCGGTAAGCAACAGTAGTGCATGCTGTAAATTTACAATTTAAAAACATAGTTGGTTAGGTGTTGTCTGAGCCTGTTTATTTTTTTTTTTGCAGGTGTCAGCCATGAAATGCGGGCTGTTACCCATCTCTCCTGAGGCCCTATCCCTGGGTGAGGTGGCCTACCATGACTACTATGGCATCCTCGTGGATGATGAAGAAACTACTCTTATACAGAGAAACCTTGGCCCTAAAAGCAAGGTAACAGCAGAGTCTTTGTGTGTGTAATAGAAATCAAAAGGAGAGAATTTACTTCTAAAGGGAATTTTCTTTTTATTTCGTTTGTTTCAGGTGTTGATCCTTAGGAACCATGGCTTGGTGTCAGTAGGTGAAACAGTGGAGGAGGCTTTCTATTACATCCACAATCTGGTCACTGCCTGTGAGATCCAGGTAGGACACTGAACCACCTGGTAGTGGTAACACATTGTAATTTTTTTAATGTCAAACGATCCGTAATATTCTGGCTTTGTTGTTTCATGTGGTTGTCATACATGTTTGTATGCGTTTTTCACAACTAATGCTTTTGTCCGTTGTCTCTTTGTCTCTTTATACATGTTCATCTGTCCTTGTGTTGGATGTGTGTGTCTCTCCCTTGATGATGTGCTTGTGTCCTCATTCTCTTTTTTTTTTTTTTTTTTTGGTTTTGTTTTTGGATTCTGGATCTTTCGATGGTTTGGTCTGTTTGTATACCCCCCTTAATATTTTGTAGGTACGAACACTGGCCAGCGCTGGAGGGCCAGATAATCTGGTGATGTTGGACCCTGGGAAATACAAGTCACGCCCACAGGTCCCTGAGCCAGCTGGTGACGGGTCCTCAACCCATCCCAAGTGGCAAGTCGGGGAGCAGGAGTTTGAAGCCCTCATGAGAATGCTCGACAACTTGGTAAGCACAAAGGGAGAGGGATGATTTAAGTTATATGCAAGACACATACATAGTCACACATTTTTTTGCTTTGTCTCCATCCAGGGCTACAGAACGGGCTATCCTTACCGCTGCCCAGCCTTGCGAGACAAAGGTAAAAAGTACAGTGATGTGGAGATGGCCTCCTCCGCCCACGGTGGTTACTCATATGGGGAGGACAGTGACTCAGGTGCTCGCTCCCCATTGAAACACAGCTTCCAGCGCGGCCAGCGCGACAAGACCCGCTGGCTAAATGCCAGCGGCCGCCCCGATGAGCCCTCTGAGGACGGGGCCGACGGCAGCAGCCCCAAGTCGAAGCCTAAGGTGTGGACGAACATAACACATGATCACGTCAAACCCTTGCTGCAGTCTCTCTCGTCCGGTGTCTGCGTGCCAAGCTGTATAACCAACTGCTTGGTCTGTGCCTACCTTATTGTTCATAGTATAGATTTTACAGCTACCTTGTTGGTGGTAACGGGTAGATGGTCGGCATCCTGAGGGTCTGAGTACAATGAAAATGAAAAGAATGTTGCAAGTTTTTCCCGTTTTCTCACAGAACTGCTTGCCTGCTAAAATGCAAGTCGGTGCAATCTATCTTTTTACTGCTTTTCTTTCTTAGTGCTTAAATGCCCCAGTAATCCATCTTTCTACTGCAGTCTCTGTACTTACTTCACAGCTTACCTCACAGCTGTGATTATGTCTTGACTATTTTTACTCTTATTCTGGTATCCTAATACTTCATGATGCCCGGCCAGCTGCCCACAGCATGCCCCACTGCATGTGTAGTAGTGAAATGCATTGTTGGTGTTGATGTTTTTCCCAGAGGAGCGAGCAGCAGGGGTGTGGCATGAGTCTGCAGGTAGGCAGGTGAATGTGGCACAAACAGGTGATGTTGCTCCTGACCACCGTATTGTTCACAATCCCTTAATACACAACTGTGCATCGTGACGTTTGTTGCTTAAAGAAGAGTGAGAAGATAATGAAGTAAAAAAAGAAATTAAAAAAAAAAGTTCTTTGAGTTTTGAGGCTTTATTCACCAAAAATCTTTAGGAATCTGTATAGACGTACTATAGAGTAAAGAAGGAAGGTGGCATGATGAGAGTATTTATTTTTTCCAGGTTAAATATACTTTACACACACTGGATTATTCCAGATTTACTTCACTACAGAGTTATGCAGCCTGCTCCTTTTTTTAATTTTCCTCAAACACTTGCAACTGTTCCCAGTTGTGCATTTGTGCGTTTCCTCCTATTATTCATATTCTCTCTAATCTTCTGATTTCAGTTTTATTTCCAAAGTGGCTTTGAGCACCTCAAGGCCTGCATGAGTGGATCTGTTTGGGGCGGGGTTCAAAAAAAAAGAAAGAAAGAACTAAAACTTTTGAAATTTGACCTGACCCTTGAATTAATTATCTCCTGTTGGGAAAGTAGGAAATGTTGTGTGTGAGACTCTTTCTCAGTGAGTATATCGTGTTTACATGTTCATCTCATACTCAACCAACCCAATCCAGCTACTTCCATCAAGATTCCCTTCCTCATCTATCTTCTAGTTTGGCAGCTAACCAGCCAAGCTTGTAACAAACACAGGAATGAAGTCATGAGCTTATGCTTACACATGCCTAGTTTTCAAAGGTTGAATTAAAACATTTTGCATGAAAGCTGAAGATTTGATTTCTGTATTCACCTGCTGCTCATTCAGTTTGGTGCGGAAATGGGTTTTCCCTGCAATCATGCTGAGCATTACCAGGTTTGCGTTACAACCATGGGTTGTTTCTTCACATTAAGAGGAACACATTATTTAGCAAGACACCTAACACTTTGATCCTCAGCTGGGTAAGATATTCTTAGTCTGTGGTGTTGTGACATTCGATTTCTTTGTCCCAACATGGGCGGGTGTCCTCGGGTGTATTTCTCTCTTATCTCTGTCGTCCTTGTTGTTGTGTATCAGCCTGGAAAATGACTTTGGTGATGCCAGCTCACCCCTCACTGCCACTCTCGCTTCGTAAGCCAGCCTCATCGTCTTAGTCACCCACTCAGCCACCCTGTCATGTCTCACTTCTCCCTCACAACTAACCACCCACCCAGCTCCTTATTCCCCTCCACGCCTTACCCTTTTTACCACTTTTTGTTTCTCCATCCTGTGATGTTTTCAGTTCTTGTTTTTAAGTTAAAATAGCATATCAATGATGATGACAAATGAGGGTTTTTTGTTGATGAAAGAAGTTGGTTGTAGCACCAGTGATGCTGCTGTGGAGCACAGTGACAGTCTTGTGACCAAAAAATAACAAAGTCAGAAATTTAGGATGACTGCTGCTGTGACCTGGAACGCAGCGTGATGTGACTCACCAGTCAACACGTCACTTGTTATTAAAAAAAACAAATACAAACCCAAACACAACATGGAAGTAAAACCAAATGTTTCTTGGAATCCCAAAGAAGAAAATGAAGTTGAGTCGTCCAAACAAAAACTTGTTTTTGTGACTGCATCGAAGAGGAGGATGCAGGGGGAAACAATGCAGTGGAGGGACCAAAGCGTATTAGATCCGTGTTATACAAGTGATTTGTAATGAACTTATAGCTGCTAGGTCTGCTTAAATCTGTGTATAGGCACCTTTAAACATTTTGTCATTTATTATCTCAAAGGCAGATGAGTTTATACTCACCTAAATAATGTTAAACACGGTGTTTGCTGTAAATCCTTTAATGTCAGCTCTGATTTCACATTTGCCTTCCAACAGCCTACTGTTCCTTGATCTAAGACATGGATGTCAGAATCATTACCCCTGTTGTTGTCGCCCCGCTGGGCGGTGTGAGCGCTCAAGTTTATAAATGTGATAACTAGAGAACGAGGCAAAGTAGGATTTTTGAAATTCATACCATAGGTGTATCTGCTAAGTGACCTTAACCTCAGGAGTCAAGGCTCAATTTTTCAGGCCAGTTCTGGCCCACAGGCCTTATTTTTTGACTCTTAAGTACTAACCTAAATGATCATTTCCAAACTGATTTAAGCTTCCCAGTCACATTTCATCTCTAGTATGAAATCTAGTAACGTCAGGTATGAAATTCTACCGCTTTATTGTATGTTTAGTCATTCTGTGGAAATGAAGCGTCAGTTAACATTCTGTATTACTGGGAAGATCCTGTTATATAATACGTTGATAAAGTAGCCTTGGATAGATTATGTTGGTTGTGGTGTAGAGGAGTCCCCTGAATTTAAAGTGGAAAAGGCGCCTCATCATCATTGGTTCACTTTTTTTTTTCCCCCATTCAGACCACTTTACACTCATCCAGTTTTGTCAGTTTCAGTTGAGCATGATTCTTGTTTTGTGAAGCCTGCATAGTATTGTCTGATTATATTTTTGTGCTTGGGTTTGTCATGTCGTTTCATGTGTCTGGTTTTAGCTGGTTTTAACTCTTTATCTGGTGTTTACAGTGGACAAAGGAAGATGGGCTCCGCCAGGCTGCTGCAGTCAATCAGTTCATCCCACTGAACACCAACCCAAAGGAAGTCCTGGAAATGAGGAATAAGGTATCACAGCGTTCTCCTGTTTGCTTTAAGTGTTTCGTCCTTCTAGGAGCATATTTAACAGGATACTTTTATTGTCCTTTTTATGAGTTGAATATTTTTGTTTGTAGATCCGGGAGCAGAACCTGCAGGACATAAAGACAGCAGGGCCCCAGTCCCAGGTTCTGTGTGCCAGCACTGTGGTCGAACGCTCCTTTAACCAGGTCAGTGTGAGAACTGAGCACTGAAACACCTCACAGCTACAACTCTCCTGACCTGGAGATGAATGTGCACTGTTGAACTAGCTTGATTTGTGTCTGTTAGTGTCTTCTATTGAGGTTGGCTCAGTTAAAACAAAATCTACATTCTGTCCAGGTCAGGAGTTTCCCTCCTAAACCAAGAGGCTGCAATGTGTGAATATTGTGCATGAAGCTGTACTGGCCACTGTGAACTCTAACGAAAGACATGGTTGCTACTAAAATCAGATTTATGACAGAATAACTACGAAGAACAAAAATATGTCATCCGTTGTGTTTACCAGGGCATGGGGTGACTTTAACTTTAATTATTCTTTGATCACAGAGAGTGTCAATCTGGCAGGTGAGTAGTAAGTGAGAGAGGCAACCTCATTCTCCTCTCCAAACCTGCCAGCTCAGGCTGTGTCCATATTCATACATTGTCTTTCCTTTGTTTTAATTTGCTTTTAATATTTATTTTGTTTGTAGCAGAGTAATGGTTGTTACCTTACACAACATTTGCAAGCTGGTCTCTTACAATGCTAAAATGATTTCCATGTTATAGTCAAATAATTGTTTTGGTTTTTTTTTGGTTTTTTTTGTTTTTTTAAGTGCATGAGTGAGGGACAAAGCAAAGCAGTGGGAACATCCTAAAATGTTTCCCCCTGCCGTTTGTATGCATGACTCGTCCTTCCTGTCCAGCGTTGGTTTTTAGCTCAGTTAATAGCTCTGGTAAAACAGAGCTCTTAATCGTTTTTGGATTAAGATAATAAAGCTATGGGGGTAATTTAAAACTTTACCAGTGCATAACTGCTGATTAACTGCTGTTTTGCACTGTGTAGCACCCCCTTGTGTGGAGAGTTTGCCTTTACAGTGCATGTTTCTGGCTCTTTGTTCAGTCACTGCAAGCCTTTTCATAACCCTATGACTATTTGCGGAACCATCTCTCTTTGCATGTATTTCCAATATATGTTTGTATGGAATGGTGTGAATGCAGAGGTGGAAAGTCATTAAACGCAACGATAACTGAAGTATTATTATGAATTCATAGTAAATGAATACAACAATGTTGGGTTATTTTAAATCAGTTTATGCTCTTTGAGCCTCCTTTTTAAAGCTTTGCCCACCAGAGTTGACTTCGTGAGATCCCGTATTTGAACACCTTTAAACACAACACAATACTATACAACTTAACTTTTGTACTGAAATGAGATATAATCATAGTCTTTCCCCCTTTGTGCTTGTGTGTGTGAAAGGTTTGTGAATATTTGCGCACCTTCGTGGCTGCCTGGACCAGTGTTAATCTGAATGTTCTAGTGTTAGAGCTGGGTTTTGCCTTTTCCCCCCCCCTCACTGGGTTTACTATTGCAGGACGCCCCTCTGTCTGACTGTACAGACACTATTGATGGCCTTGATGTGTCCGAGGGCTCCTATAGTCCTGCTAAATCTATTAGAAAGGTACTCACTGCTCCAATCACTTTTTTCACACCATTATTCGACCTGTGAGACAGCAGATAGGCAGATATCTGGAACTAATGAGTGATAGTTTAGTGAGAGATTACAGGGGTTTTTGAATGTTGGGACTGGTTTTCTTCAACTGACAATTTTGTTGTTGGTAAGGATACTTCATGTTCAGTACACTCTGCTGACTCTGTCTGAAGGATGGATATTTTTTCAGACTTTTGTTTTTAACCCAAGAGGAGCAGTGAAAAGTGCTTAGATCCAGTAACATTGTGAATTTTACTGCATGCATAACAAATTGTGTGATATATAAACAACTGACTTACAGTAATATTCATCTCAAGTTGTGTATTGTAGTGGTCTGTGCTGTGAATTCCCCACACCACCTATATGACACAGCTATCTTAACTCATGCACATACATCCTCTGTGTAAGCAAATGGCACATACTTACAATGGGTGGGCGGGCTATGTGTGCAAGGCCCAGAAATGCTTTTATGTGAAATAAAAGGTTATTGTGAGTGCACAAAGGTTATGAATATTTGCTTTGTTACTATTCTGTTACGCTGTTGACTTGGACTGCTTGAACTGGACTCTTCAGTGCTTTGCTATATCAAAGCTAATTAAGTCTTAAAAGAATACCAAAGGTTTCTCTTTTCTTATGTGTTTTGTTTTGGGTTTTTCCCTTTTTTGTGCAGTTTTTAATGAGGAAACTTCCTAATTTTTACTTCTGCCTTACATTTATGAATTCATGGCTGATGATGCTAATATTGTGTTTCTGCCTGCATCTTATCTAATATTCACACTTCAGACTACATTTTGTTTGTAAAGAACAACTACAGAAATACAGAACTTTCTACATATAAAATGTCATTTATAGCTTACAGTACGTGGATTTTATTTTATTTTTTGATCTGCTGATTGTGCTTTCCCTTCTCCTCCCCTTCTCTGTGTTCTGAAGGGTGAACTGGTGACTGCATCCAAGGCAATCATCGAAAAGGAGTATCAGCCCAAGGTTATCGTCAGCAAGCAGGGGCCCAACCCCTTCACCAAACTCACCGATCAGGAGCTGGAGGAGTACCGCAGGGAGGTGGAGCTTAAACAGAAAGGAGGTGAAGGTGAAGAGCAAAGCAACATTGCAACTTTTTAAAATGATTTCACCTATAAGTTTCGTCTTAAAGTATCATAAACGTGTATTGGAAGTTTGCTTTACCTGTTTGTATCTAAACATTCAATTATAAACTGTATATCAAAGATGGCTGCAATCACCATGTCATTACCCATCAGTTTGTGGGCTGGAGTTTAGTATTTTGGCCGTTGCTAATTATTTTGAATTTCACCCGCATGTCATTTTCATTATACAGGTACAGTTAAATTGAGACTGGCGCCACTCATATGTCCATCAAAAAGTAAATAAATAAATAAATGGACAATAAATGGAGATCTCGGGGAAAACGTTAAAGAGTTGAGAAATTTGTTTTCTTAGCGATAAAATCAGACTTGATAACAACGCATAACTATGCGTCTTAAGGAGGGGACAGAAACAGCATTTCACAGCTCCCTTCTTCTATAGTCCCACTTACTTGACCTTCCTCAAGAGATTTGTTATAATTGGGGCAAATCAATAATTTTCCTATTGGTGGTTTACAGAGTAAATAACGTCACAGAAAATATCTGAGCTTTCATGACCTCATAAACATGATTGGGGGAAAAAATGTAAACAATAAGACTTGAAGTACGTTTAAAATCAGCTTATTATTAAAATAAATCCTACAGAATAAACTTCATACTTGCCATACTGTGATGTTATCTCTCCACACACACACCCACATTCACACGGATTCACAGTGCAGGGTCGATCCATGAGTAGGGGGGGATCAGCCTCTGCTGTACCCAGCCCGGCGCCTCAAACGGCACAGATGGGTCAAGCCTCATCATCTCCACCGTCTGCAGCTGACTCCTCCAGCTTAGAGAAAGCCCAGCCTACAGCTGCCACACCAGCCTCTGAGCACGGCTCTTCTGTCGGCGGAGCTGAGCCATCTCAGAGCGGAGCAGACTCTGCAGGAACAGTGGCAGACGATGTTTTTTCGACTGCAGACGAGGTTTTTTCAGATTCTCCACATAAGGACTTCCACTGTGCTGTGCTGCGAGCCCTCAGCAAGGAGCCCTCGGTGGTAGATGCAGCTAAGGCAGGTCAGGCTCCATGTACACCAGATAAAGTGGAGTCTTGCCTAAACTCTGGCCTTCCACTTCCCACCTCCCCTGCTCAGCCCTGGGACACTGGGAATCCCCCGCCTGCTGTGTTCTCTCCTTCTTCTGAGGGTTTGGAGTCTGCTGCAAGTGTTTTACCATGTGCAAGCACCCTCCATACCCACACTCTAATCTCTGAAGCCTTTGCTTGATTATTTTTTCCCCCATAAATCCCCTGTCTCTGATGTTTTGTCGAAGGCAGATCATATACCTTTCTGCAGTTTGATTGGACGAGGGGCTGAGGAGATAGGATGCTTAGAGTAAAGTTCATTTTTAACATTCAAACCTTCTGGCTCTATTTTTTTTCTTCTTCTTCTTTCAGGGTTCTCACTCCTCAAATGCAAAAAATGTTATTTAGTTTTACTTATGTATTAATTTTTGCTCTGTAGAATTAACTCTTGATGAAGCTGCATCTGAGCTCAATCATCCAATCAGAGTATCCCCTGTGTGGAGAACAATGGTCATTCTCTTCCTGCTAACTTGTCTTGGATACATCTCTGGTGGTGTCGGCTCTCCCTTCTGCGCATCTGACTAATTTCCATCAAACCTTGATTTGAATCAGGTTCTGGGGATGTTTTTAAGGTTGATTTAGTGGTGTCTGTATCAGTAGGTTTGCAGTGCTTTCTTGATTAAAGCTTACAGCTTTTGTTTATTTTGTTTAGTTTTTGTGTGTGTGTTATCTCCCCTCTCCTTTTGTGTTGCATTATGTGGGTGTTGGCACAGAATGACTCATTGACATAAAAATGTGGCTTTTAACTGTATATTTAGGCAAAAAACCCAAAACGATGATAACTACTGATAACCTTATAATCTGATGTAATGGCTATTTAATTGTTTAATGTCTACTCGCCTTTCTTCCAGATCCAGGGCAGCTTGTAGAGTCTGAGAACGAGCCCAAAGACCCCAAACCCACATCCACACCACCCAGCACCCCAATCAGAGCAGAGGAAGGTAAGTTAGCCTGCCATACTTGGCTCACTTATTTCCTACCTGGTTCAGCATGGGTTTCTCCAGTTCTGTGGCTGGAAGGTTTGGGTGTTTCTAGGGTCTACAGCGGGAATGCAGAGGCTCCTGCCTATCCACCTGCTTGTCTGTCTCTTGAGTTTGTTGTTGCTGTGGTCTTTAATAATACTACTATAAGTGTTGTGCTTTAATTTCTGTAATAACAGGCCAAGAGGTTTTGTTTATTTCATAAGAAATATTTTCAGGGCTGATAATCTGCCGAAAGCTCAGTTTGGAAATGCTGATAATAAAAAGAGCCTGTTTATCAGCTTTTGATGGACCATAGGACAGACTCATTTATTTTCTTCCTCTTGGTCTTTATTACTATTGGATTACACCCATGTCAGTGGTATCATTCCTAATGATACTGGAACTGACCTCTAAAAACAGGAAGTTATTTTTTATATTGAGCAATCTCAGTTGAAGTCATCTTAAGGGGTAAACGGGTATCTAGCTTTGATTGCAGGTGTAATCTAATACCAGAAATGTTGTTGCATAACATGTGTCTCTCTGTACAGTATCTCCTGTTCCCCCTTCACTTCCATTCTCCATCTACTTGGGGTCTATGAAGAATGGTTCCCAACCATTCTTTATTTTTGTTAATCTTCTGATATATATAAATATTTTATATATTTTTTTATCTTCATTTTACATTTTTGATTTTCCTTTTTTAATTTAACACAGTGCCTGTGGTTTGATCTGCATAGACATTTGTTTCTACTTGTGCTTTTTTTCTTTTTTTGTGGCTGCGATTACAATCAGGAGATGGAAATTCAAAAGAGTACCTGTTACCATAGTAAGTATGTACTGTTCCACCTCCTCCACACCTTCATAATTAACCCGTCACCCTCCACGCCTGTGTGTGAGCATCGACCCTGTTTTTTCCCCCCTTTCCCGCTCTTTGCATGGCTTCAGTAGCAGAGCAGTGTTCTGTGATCTAAACTAACCCCTTTTTGTCGGGGTGTGTGACTGATCAGACAGTTTAGACTCCTCTGAATCTCTTTCTCAGGGGTTGATGGGTTATTTCAGAGCTCCTCACTCATAATTAGTGTTTCAAGTTCATGCCAAGAAAAAAAAAAGAATGAATGAAAAAAGACTGACATTCACAAAACAAATTGCAAGATCCTTAACTCTAGTGGAGTAAGTGGAGGATGTTCCTGAAGTAAACCTCACACCGTACTTTCACTGTGTCACATTAACCTCTTTTCTTCCTGTCGACTATTCGCTATCAAACCTCTCTTGCACATTAGCACATTTCTGTAACTGTTATATGACACTGTATGTTTCTGTTCTGGGGAAAAAAAACTCAGGTAATGTTTTGAAAATATCTTTTGAATGTCGTTTGTCTTCCAGACGAGTCCTTTACCAGGTACACGAGTGCTTTATTTCTCTTGTGGCTTTCTGAGCGAACTTGCTGTTGGTTTAGCTGGTTGAAGCCAAAAGCTTGGCTGTGTGGTGGTGCTTGGTCTCCATTTTTATCTGTCTGTGTTGTTCGGCCTTATCTGTATACTGACAGACATGAAGATATGCGAAAACTGAAATGCGCTGCTGTTTTCTCGAGTCTTGTTTTGCAGTAGTCACTGTTGCATGCAAACGGTTTTAAAAAAATAATGAAAATCCAGTGCGAGCTTGCAGCAATACTTTTAGGATGCTGTTTGTGCCACTGACCCTTGAAACAGAACATCTATGATGCAGCACTTTTTTTTCTTTTCTTATCTTATCTTATCTTTTTTCTTTTTTTGCTGGGAGTGTTTTTTTGTTTGTTTGTTTGTTTGGTTTTTTTAAAAGACGAGAATTAGTTCAGGTCACTAGAAAAACCTTCCAACGTCAGTACTGACTTGGAGTTTTAAGGCACTCTCATAAACAAGCTTCCCATTGGCAAAATAACCCCTCACATCATGATGATTATATGGACAAGTTTAGTATTTAGAAATTAAACGGGATCTTTGCCAACAAGTATGCAAACATCTTATTCCCTTCCCAGCAGCTTGATTAATACTGTACATACTGGTGGCTCCTGTTGATGCTTACTACTTTTTGAGAGCTGATGCAGTGTTGAATTAATTCCCTTCCCCTGAAAAATACACTAAATACACTTAAAAAAAAAAAAAAAAAGAATCTTTGCGCTGTGGACGTTTCTCTGATTTGTGCGTGCTCTGTTGTATTTCATTTTGTTTTGTTTGTACACAGGGTACAAATGAACAAGGGAACTGCCCTCATTAAGATTTCCCTGTTTAAATGAAGGTAAAAGAAAGAATGCAGAGTGCTCGCTCAGGCCTGTCAAAGTGATGGAAATGAAAGGAAACAGGGAGAAGAATTCCCAATGAGAGCGGTGTTCAGTGCATCTTGGTTGAGGTTTTGCTCTGTAAAAAGCTACAAAGTTGAAGTAGTGGATTATTAGTATTTTTTTTCTTTCTTTAAATGTAGTGTGAGTATTGCCTGCGCAAGTGTTAGACTTGTGGTCACTGAAGCTTTCTTAGACTAAAGCACCTTAAGTCAGTAGTGTTTGGGATGGTTTTATTATGTCACATAAATAAATGACTGTGTGGACTGCAGAGAAAGGTGGATGCATCTAAAATAGAAAATCGCATGGATTTTGCAGCTTACCCAGTTGTAGTAACGCCGCTCAGCAGTGCAGCTCCATTAGTTTGTCCCCTGAGTCCACTAACTCTCTCCATCTGCCCCTCCACCAGAGTCCTTGCCAGAACAAACCTTTAAGGATGAGAGTGACGCAGCCACCCTGAGACAGACCCTTCCAGATTTAACACCCGATGACCCTTCAGATGCTCCAGCGCTTCCTGCCGAAGACTCCACCCCCGCCACTGCCGACACAGCCGAGGGGGAGGAAGCCGCTGACGCCGGCGACCAGGAGGGTGACGAGTCTCCCAGCAAGTCCCCCTCCAAAAAGAAAAAGAAGTTTCGCACTCCTTCCTTCCTGAAGAAAAACAAAAAAAAGTCTGAGTCCTAGATTGAAGAATGTTGGATCGGTCCTCACTGCTGGCTCCTGTCTCTTTTTCTTTCTTTCTTCTTTTTTTTGTCTCTGCTTTTTGTCTGATATCATTACACCGTCAAGTTTCAAGCAGGCCACAGTTACACGCCATTACTTTTTAAAAAATATATAATTTGCCGCTGGCTTATTAACCTATTTTCCCTTGTGTGTGCCAATTTTGTATACAATGTAAAAAATGAAATGCATAAGGTTTTTAATTAGTAGCGGCTTTTAGTTGCGAGTGAGTGTTGCATTTTGTCTCGTCCACTTCATCTGGCCTTTTATGCATGTCTCTTACTACAGGCCCACATACGTAATGTGAGGTTATTTTATTTTATTTTTTTAGATTACTACTAAACCACTGTAACCACTAGAATGTATTGGGATTGTATCGAAATATATAAGTGTCTTTCAGCAAAAGCAAAACAAGAAAACATTGAATGCAGACAGAGAAGCTCATACCCTTTCATTTGACTGGTTTGAAACTCTGACAGCGGGAACTACAAATTGCACAGCACTAATTGCATCCCTGAAGCCGTGCATCCATGTAATTACATGTTGGCAGAGGAAGAGAGCGACACTTCAGTAGAGGACGTGCTCGTGGGGGAAAAAAAAAAAAAAGTCCATATTTTTTATTTTTTAAATTTAAACCAATCAGTGCATTCGATATTAAACACACCTGGATGTTGGTTTTGCTTCTGTTTTTAAACACTCTAAATACCCACCTGGTTAGGTAGTTGTAAAGTGCTTTCTATCGAGTTTGATTTCTACTGATTTGTATTTTTATTTTTTTTTTTTTTTAAGTGGAATTTTATTCTAATATTTCACAGACAAGCACCATTAAAATATCCATCTGAGGTGCTTGCAAACCTGCAGATGGTGTTTTTTCTGAAGCTTTAGTGTGAGTATAGTTCACAGCGGCGTGTGAGTCAGGAAATGTGGGCAGGCATTGCGCTTAATGATTATTCTAAGGGTTGATGTAATGTATTTGCTACTGGCTTTAAGGCATAAGTATGAAGGAATGTGTAAAAATAAATCTGTTTGTGGTTCCCATATTTTTTTCTTCCCAAGCTTGGCTTTAATTTTTAGTTTTTTTTTTAGTTTTTTTTTTTGCTTTTTGCATTTACTTCTGTTTAAAGTCTCAATACTACATAATGTGTATAATTCCAAACTTTATTCTGCATAAACTGTCTTATTTCACTCCCTGAATAGATTGAGCCATGATTACTTCCTGTGAGCACACTGTGAGCCTCCCTCTTTTTCTTTCTTTCCTTTTTTTAATGAACTCAGACAACACTTTGAAATAGTCGGTTATAGATGCAGTTGTTACTGAACTTATAAATGGCTGTTATGAAGCATGTCTGGACCTCTTCGTGTGAAACGTCACGCTGCTCAAACCTACTTTGTCCCTGAATACCTTCACTTGTTTCCAGTTGCACAAAACAAAAAGTTCACTGGAGAAGCGCTTCCGTTCTTGTCAACCTGATGTAATCTGAAGATTGAAAATGAGTTGCGCTTGAGGTTGCAGGGCATTAATATCAAGGCCTATTCCATGCTTTGCTCGACTTGTTTCTCCATCTTGTTTTAACCCACGAGGAGCCAAAAGGCATCGCAGGTGCTTTACTTACACTGCTGAACGTATAAGCTGAGAACTCCTGAAGGACTGCATGACAAGAGTGCATCACTATAACTACCCCCTTTAGATATGGCACACTAATTTTAGTGTCCTGATAACAACAAAGCCCCCTGTAGTCCTTTGAGTGTACCATATTCTTTTTTTTGTTTTGTTTTGTTTTTATAAATTGCTTAATTTTGCTGATTTGTATCCTCAGTCTGAACTGCTTATAGTTTAAATATCTCATCATCATAACATCCACACACTTAACACTTCACTGCTTATTTGTCATGGTTATTTGCCTCCTTTCTACAACCATGAATAAAAATACTACAATTAAAATCACTTTTGTGTTATAGTGGTCATTTACAGGGAATTTCATGGTAGATGATGTAGAAGTCGCCTGCAAGGAACTCGACAACCCTTTTTTAAGTATGCAGTAATAAACTGGGTTTGTCAAGATAAGTCAGAAGAAATATAGTTTCTCTTTCGCCGCCATCCATTTAAGACTTTCTCGTAGTATTTTCTTTGAAGTGGTCTCCAGCAGTAGTCCAAACTTTTTAGATGTAGTGTTAGTTTTCTGAAAGCCTGCTGAGAGAGGTCATGTTAAGACAGGCACTATTGCTTGTTTATGTTTCCTCTCTCCAGTTTGCTGAAACAGCCGATCTGTCTCTGACCGTGGTGCTGAAGTTGCATTTAAGAATTAGAATTTTACTAAATTCTCGCTCTGTTCTTAAACTCCTTCTTTTGTAGATGTGCCATAAACGCACCATAAAAACACACCATTTGTTATAGTTCCCACTGCAGGAGGTGTCTTTTAGGACCTCATTTTGGCAGAATGACACATGTAGAGACAAACGGCCAAAGTTCACAGAGTGAAAACACTACCAGCCTCACTATTGCAGCTAGCGATCATAACCAACTTCGCCTATCACCAAGAGAAGATAATCTTTCGTCTCTTTACAGGTGAGTTGAAGGACAGGGCAAAGCTTCATAACCACACCTCCAGAAGAAACACTTGTGTTATTGGAGGAAGTATGGCCTGATTTATCCAGTGAATGATGGTCTTTCACAACATCGTGGCAACCGCTAGGTACTGTCCACTGTTTGCCTTTTAAGCACTTTAGATGCTTTTATGGTTTTAAAACCTTAATCTTAATCTGATTGAAGTAACTATCAAAGCTGAATTTATGAGTGTGTGTTGAGGACACACTTAAGCATGACACAGCATAAATTTTGTGTGTGTGTGCTGTTGATATTTTGTAACTATTCCATTCTCTTGGGACACAATAAAATGCTGTAGATTTATGTTTTTATTACAGATTATGATCACTAACAATAAATGCTGAGCCTATAAATAATTGACCAAATGAATGCCATGGAGAATAACATGTGCTTTCTACTGTGGGCAAATGACTTTTCCATTATGCTACATTCGCCATTGATCAGATTAGACTACAATCCTTTACATATTATGTGACAAAATGATAACCATGTTGGATATTGTTGAAATGTAAATGGCCTACTGCAATTCTATCAACCCTGCATTTGTCACTTGTCCATTTTTCTGAGATGTTGTTAAGGAATAATAGTTTTTAATAATCCTGTTTGTGCAAAAATAGTATTTTCTGAATGTTAAATGTTTTGGTATTGCTTTTTTAGATTTATCTAAAGAAATGGGCACAATTTTTGTGGTTTTGCAACAGGCTGCTAGTAACAAAGTGCCTCAAGATACATTTTAAAAATATTTTCAGTGCTAAGTTGTTATGTGTAGGCACAATGTTGATTCATCAATTGAGTTAGGGGACTTTTTTTTTATACACAAGTAATTCATAGAAAATGGTAAGCTATAATGGACAGGACTAAAATGAAAAAGCAACCAATTTCCAAAGAAAAAAAATTCGAAAGCCCTCCAGAAAGCCTGACGAACTTCTGCTCAGGACCACAGAGCTAGCTCAGGAATTTTGCCCAATGCTTTATGCTTTATTTACGAATTCCTGAGTTGTAGTGCAGGATCCTATTTTTTTTCTTTTCTTTTTCATTAGTGTTGAAACTGAGGTGTAACACTGGATCTAGTGGATTTTTGCCACATATTAACAAGCCAACAGAGGTTGCATTAAAACCCATTATTACTTCCATAGTTGACTTCAAACCCTTGGAGACATTCTAGTTATGCAGCTATGGAATTACTTAACAACTGATAAAGACAACATCTAATATTATCAGTCAAATACACTTAATTCACTGTGCTGGTGAACATTTTTGATTTCTTTCATATGCTGGCTAACACTGTAATACTTGAGTGTGTAAGGTTGTAACCTAAAATGACAATTACCACTGTGGTAATTTCTTTGTGAGTTCTTTGTGCTTCCATGTTGACGAGATTCCCATTTCCAGATGCATTGATGCTGATAATATTCCCACCCCTGTGTTTCGCTGTGGGGATGGTGCTCTTTGGGTCTCTCCCTTCTTTTTCCAAATATAGACAGCATCTGTTTGAGCTTCCAGTATACATGTTCAGAGTTATTATAGTTTTGTATTTTCTAAGTAGTTTTATTTTTATTTAATTTTGACTTTTTTGTTTTTAATTCGGTTTAGTTTCAGTTAGTTTCCAGAGCAGATTTTCTTATTCCAGTTTGCATGTTTGCATTACAAAGTTAAAGCACATCATTGCACAGCAGTGTTTTGTGCTAAGCCTCAATAAAAAGGTCAGTTTTTCTGGGATCTAAGAATAATGACCAGGACATTTCTGAAATAATTCTGTTATTGTGTGCAAATCAAAATAATTTATGCTTTTTCAAAGAAAACTAGTAAATTTAGAAATGTAATGTTGAAAATCTCTTGCTTTGCTAAAAAAGTGTTTGGAAGAGGCCTAATAAATGTTTCCTTATCCTGCTTTTGTGTGTGTGTGTGTGTGTGTGTGTGTGTGTGTGTGTGTGTGTGTGTGTGTGTGTGGTGTGTGTGTGTGTGTGTGTGTGTGTGTGTGTGTGTGTGTGTGTGTGTGTGTGTGTGTGTGTGTGTGTCTGTTGTAGCTGATATTTAGTAACTATTCTGTTGTGTTGGGACACAATGCAATGCTGTCAGGGTGTTTTATTGTTATTGTTGATTTTAATCAAGAATCAGTCCTTTGATTATGTGTTTATTGCAGCATGTGATTATCAACAAATGCCAAGCCCATAAATAATTGACCAAATGAACGTGCCTTAGAGACTAAAGTGCTTCACTTTCTAGAG